TGGGCTTTTCCTAGATGCTGTGATGTCGAATCCCAGAAGATTGCAAGACAATATTTACTGAAATCGGGAAATGATTACAGGAAACACAAAGCATCGTAATTACACAAAACAAACATCTCCCCTGTCTGCCGATAGCCAATAATATTTCAGTGCAGTATCTTTGTCTTTAAATGACTCCGATTTTCAGAGACAACACGCAGAGACTCCCCGGATGGCTGATCTGCTTGAGCCCAGTTTTTAATGTGTTTCATTTCTTGGCATTGTAATTACATTTTGAGCTTAGTTGGGAAACGTGTTGAAATTCTAGAGAATCTAAAATGACATCGGTTAAATCCGTATTTCGGTGCGGTGTTTTTTTTTTTTTTCTCATCCATATTACAAGAAACGTAGTCTATCTTTTCCCCCCATTAAATTAAATAGTCCCCCCCCCCCCCCCCCCCCCCCCCCCAACCGTTGCTGCAAATACTGCTGTTGCTCTTGCTACTGTTGTGTCATTCTGTCTAGCTTCTACAGCACGGACGCAATATTTAGTAGTAGAAATTGTTGTTGTAGTGTTGTGTAATTTCTCGTGGGGAGGGGGGGAGAGAGACTAAATACCCAGCCTCCGGCCCCCCTTGACCGGTGGAATCATGAATACAATTCCATGCTAGGAGGAGGCATCTTGACGTGCAGTCGTAAGTAAGATCCACTCTATGTATTGTCTTCTACATCTTTAAGGCCAAAAAAGACAACTTGGGCGAGTTGCCGCCAACACTTGAATCGCCTTCCACATCGGCAAGGTCTTGTACAATCAACTCTAGGTATCCATTGACTTATACCTCTTGGTATTGTGCTGGCTACTTTAACCGAAGATTTCTTTAGCTGCAAACTCTAACTGCTTCTTGTCTTCCTTCTCATACATCTTTTTTCAGTTCTTCTGTCGACTTAAATCAGATCCATGTTTGTAAAAGCAAGCATTATACCATCCCGTTACATGTATGTAGACTGAAAGATGACTGCCTGAAGGTTTATTTCAAGGTGTCAACAGAGGAAAAGAGATAACAGGAGGCTTAAGACACGTGCACAAGATTGAGGCAGAATTGAACGATAATTTGATAGAGTTGCAGGAGATTGTAAATGAACCGACATCTCGAAGGGAGGTAGATGAGAGCCTATGCTCCAAAGGGGAATAAAGTGCGGAAGAAAAATGTTCTAGTTCGTGATATAATAGGGTATGACACGAAGCTCATTTCCTCCCTGCGTCTTCCTTCGCGAAGCAATCGATCGAAACAATACATGAACAAAAATGGAGCTCGATGCAAAAGAAAAAGACAGTAAACTTCAGGGACACAAATAGAGATCTCCAGATGATGAATAGAGATTAGGCTTCTAGAATAAACCCTCGGGATCAGAGAACTGAAATTTGGGGAGAAAGAGAGAATGAACTTTATATTCAAGGGGTTAAGAACTCTATTACATTGGGTCTTCCAAAAGACATTATATTCTCACGTCCATACGGCTTAGAGAGAGAGAGAGAGAGAGAGAGAGAGAGAGAGAGAGAGAGAGAGAGAGAGAGTGTGTGTGTGTGTGTGTTTTAGAACAGGCGAAAAGATTCCTGTATAACTTAAAGACTTTCCAAAATTTTGATTTAAAAAAAACAAAACAATGGAAATTTGAAATCTGCGGTTGGATTGGAGGGCAATGGCTGAATCTATATCAGGCAGCACCTGATGTCTGCCCGACAACTGAAGTGATACATTACATGCTTGGCATTTGGAAAACGGTTTCAACACCGTAATGAGGTGGAGGAAAGCGTGTTATTCCAGTTGTCGGTTTCGCCGCATCAACACCAGGGATCGATAGACAGACAAACAAGCAGACAGAAAGAAACTTGCAGGAAGGTGTCCTTACAGGCTAAGATGTTAGCCGACAGATTATCATCATTGCACTATTGAGTCCATAAATGCTCAAATTCCCCCTCAGTAAAACGCACAGCGTGTAGCGACACCAATTCTATGTTGATTTCTTAATCTTCTTTGACTTCCTGTATACTGCTCTTTTCTAGCCAAATCACTATTTAACAAGCTGTCTTGCAGTCTGGTCATGGTGGCAGACTCAGTTATCACTTGGTTCTCGTATACGTTTTGCTTCTTGTAAAACATTCAGAACCTCTGCCTGGTCCTTGGCTCGTCCGCCCTCCACCTGCCAGCTTGCACGTCTACATGCCCTGGCATGAAAATGAAACTAATGTGTCCGCCCCAGAGACTCCAGTCATTGTCTTCAGACCCAGTCCCGCTCCATCTTAATGATACGACTCACTGTGTCGCTGAGAAAGAATACGCGTGTAAAGGTCTGGTCTTAGGTAAGAAAGTATGAACGAACAAATAAATAAACTATTTTCAATGGACACAAGACAAGAGAAGTGAGAGTGAGAGAAAGAGATTCTTGTGTTACCAATGAGAGTCAGAGAAGGCGAAAAGATTCTTATATGAATTAAAGACCCTATAATTCTGACCCCATTCATTAAACTCCTACATCTGTTGACAAAAAAAGATCAGAGAGACAAGCCACGAGTCCAGCAGGAGGTAGCCATAAGTGGCCCACAGTTTCTCCTCTACTTGCATCTCTTGAGCCAGAATTGTGCTCTCTAGTCACTTAAAGACAGCACACATCCGCAGTTGTTTAACCCTATCACCCCAAGAAGACGGACACAGCCCCCCCCCCCCCCCAAATGCCAATATACTGGCCATCTTCACGGTGAACTGTTCTCAAGAAGCATAGTTAAATTCAACGTGTGGCGGTTAACAGGAGCTGAAACAGTAACTAAAAATAGTATTTAGAGAGGTTTTATTATGACTCCAAAGTCTTTCTTAAAAAGTCTAGTTGATGTCAAACTTTTCCAGTAAACCTCAGTGATAGAGATCAGGATAGGAGTCAACCAACACATTCAGTTTGGCTATGCCCGGGGAATGCAATAAATTTAACGCTTTACTCTGAACGTGTTTACTAATTAACACTTTTTTTATATTTTGAGAAAAAAATTAGAATGTAGATCAATTTTACTTAATTATTGACCTGTGCAATAAGTTTTTTTAAAAGAATGTTTTCTGAAAATCCTACAGGTTCAAGACCCACTCATTTTAGCACTGATGGGGCGAAAGCGTTAATTAATCTTCATCATCTGCCATTCTAACACAAGCAGCCATGGGTCACCATCTTCCACAATCAGATCCATGTTCTCATCCCATCTGTGCCATGTGGTCAAAGTATCAATTGTTTTGTCTTAATATTTTTCTATTCAAGTTGGCTGTTTGTCGGGTAGTTTTAAGGTTTTCCTCACAATATCCCCAAAACAATCTGAAGTTTCAAATTTCCCTAAACAGGCTTGAAATAAAGAGCAAAAGAGACGCTTAACCTCCACAAATTGTTAAAGAAAGATCATACTTGCTAGTTGAAGAATCGACAATACAACACTTAGAACATTGGCCATCTTTCAGTATCAAGCACAGAGTTGTAATTCCACTAGCAGCAGTCAATGTCTGATTGTATATCGGTCTCACCTGTCCCTTGTCTACTGTGCATCATCCAGATCACTCTGGACACTCCATGCAGCACTAATTCTCTTCAAACCTTGATGATCAGTTTATAATTCTGCACCGTTCACACATCTGCCAGTTTAAGTAACCACACACAGCAGGAAGAAAAAACATGGCAAACGATTTATTATAATTGTGTTGCTATTGAGCAACATGGCAGTACAGGATTGAGGTGATAATGTACAAGTAATACAGGATTGTTTGAATATTGCACTTTGTCGAAGTCTGATTCAGGTCAGTGATATTTCTCTCTCTCTCTCTCCCAACACAAACATTATTATCAGCGTCAGACAACAATCAGATCTCAAATATTTTATGCTCTTTCTCCTGATAAATAACCTGTGTGCAGCGATCACATCTCATATATCTTATATGTTCTCTCTCTTATTACTGACAGATAACTCAATCTTACTTATCAGAACTCATATATCTAGTTCTCTCTCTGTCTCCTTCTCTACAGACACATACATTCATCAAGATACACAGTCAGACTTTCCCAGAACAAACCAATAGAAGGAGCTACTTCCTTCTGAACAAGCTGTCCTAAACAAACCAATACTTCTTACTGACCGTGCCAGCTGGTATATGTTGTCATGTTTGTTCACAACCCTCTGTTGCTCATTCTTCTGTAAAACCTCTTGAAGGCTGTTTTAATGATATGCTTACTTAGAAACTGTCCAGTACTCACAACCATCTTACAAAATCGGTTCTTATTAACAAGCAAGACTTCTTTCTGTTACTTCTAATGAGAAGAAATTATTGCATACAATATTCTTCATTCTGTTTAATTCAGCTTTATCTGTCCTATATTTCTCTCATTTATCTCCCACTTGCTTGATTATATTCTTTATATTTGTGATATTTCTCCCTTTCATCCTATTCTGTTTATTTCTGCAATGCATCTTCCCTTTTCCCAATTTTTTTTTCATTTCTGAAACACATCTCCTATATATCCTATATTTCTGCAATACATCTCCCACCTGTCCTATTCTGTTCTTTATTTCTGCAATACATTTCCCATCTGATCTATCTGTTATACTCGCAACACACATTCAACACTTACCACACTGATATTCACCCATTCAACGTTCTTGCAACAATGTGATATTGTGCGAATCACTTTCTACACATGACCGAACCAAACCTGCCTCTCTTTCAGCGGGTGCTCCCATGCATTTGGGATGGAAGCTCTCAGTCTCCCGCAGACCCCGGATCCCAGCAGCACTGTCCTCCACTCTGAGGTCCGCCGCTGCACCGACCACCCAATGGGAATCAACAAGGGCTCTCGTTGCTAGCCAGCAAACCAGCTTGGTTTTGTGCCGAGACATTGTTCTATGGTCCAGAAGCTGAAGACCTACGAGGGTCAAGGCTAGACCACTGTTGAATTGTTTACTGGGCCAGTGCCCATGAGAGGCTGTGTGAAAATCATATATGCCCATTGATAGAGACCGCCGAGACATCGTCTGTATCTGACAGCTGCTGAGGGGATGAAGACGGGGTATTCCTTTGTCCATCTAGAGGTGAATGTTGGCAGTGTCTGTGATCCGGGCTATCTGCACCCTGCAGAAAAAGCACAAATATTTGACATCAACAAATACATTAAGATTTGCAAGCTTCAGTTTTACCCTGGGACACTGAAACTTATCTTCACTTATCTTTACCAGTGTTCTGCCAAATGGCAGTCACTAAACGCTGGTCTTTATCCCTGCCATCATGCAACAACAACTAAATTAAAGGAGGACTTAGTTCACTGCACTGTGTTCTATCCCAAATGGCTCGGCCTCTAACTGCATAACAGTGAGCCGCCTGCTGAAAGCGCCAGGTAAAGTCTAAATTACGCGTAGCTCTGGCGACGACACCCCCCCCCCCCCCCGGAATTTAATAAAAACTGCATTTGTGAACTGAATGCTGCCACTGCCAAACAAACTCACAACCTTCATGGCTTGAGGCAAATGGCTTTGACCACTTTGCCACAGAGACTCCAAAACCCTCAAAAAGTATAGGATCTCTTTTTTTATATCCTGGTGGTGCACCGGGCTAGACTCATATATGTTTATAGACCAATGGTGGGTGAACAGTGAACATCACACAGGCCATCTTTACTTCCCTGGATACTACTTAGTATGTAGGCTTCCTTGACCTCTTCTTCTGTTCCATTCTTTTATTACATGAGCCCAATATGATACAGTTGCTACTTTAACTAGTTCCGCCCCAAAACTATATTCTTTTAACTCGCAAGGATTCAAAGGTTTATACTAAAATGTACATAGACCGACAGAAAAAATACTTGGTACTCAAAGAATTAAGTGTTTGCATGAGAGTGTGCACCACGCACAATCCATTTCACTGTAGCTAACAAGAATTAAGACAGCAGAGGACAGTCCGGCTGCAGTCAATGAGAAGTGAGGCAGCAGAGGACAGTCAGGCTGCAGTCAATGAGAAGTGAGACAGCAGAGGATAGTCAGGCTGCAGTCAATGAGAAGTGTGACAGCAGAGGATAGTCAGGCTGCAGTCAATGAGAAGTGAGACAGCAGAGGATAGTCAGGCTGCAGTCAATGAGAAGTGAGACAGCAGAGGATAGTCAGGCTGCAGTCAATTAGAAGTGAGACAGCAGAGGACAGTTCGGCTGCAGTAAATGAGAAGTGAGGCAGCAGAGGACAGTCAGGCTGCAGTCAATGAGAAGTGAGGCAGCAGAGGACAGTCAGGCTGCAGTCAATGAGAAGTGAGACAGCAGAGGACAGTCAGGCTGCAGTCAATGAGAAGTGAGGCAGCAGAGGACAGTCAGGCTGCAGTCAATGAGAAGTGAGACAGCAGAGGACAGTCAGGCTGCAGTCAATGAGAAGTGAGACAGCAGAGGACAGTCAGTGAGAAATGAGACAGCAGAGGACAGCCAGGCTGCAACCAATGAGAAGTGAGGCAGCAGAGGACAGTCAGGCTGCAGTCAATGAGAAGTGAGACAGCAGAGGACAGTCAGGCTGCAGTCAATGAGAAGTGAGGCAGCAGAGGACAGTCAGGCTGCAGTCAATGAGAAGTGAGACAGCAGAGGACAGTCAGGCTGCAGTCAATGAGAAGTGAGACAGCAGAGGACAGTCAGTGAGAAATGAGACAGCAGAGGACAGCCAGGCTGCAACCAATGAGAAGTGAAACAGCAGAGGACAGCCAGTCAGTCAGTAGTCAGCAGGGGGTCCAGCCAGCAACATGTTAAGAAAACAGGTTCATTGAAAGAGCACTGTATAAAACACAACTGCTAGCAACTTACTTCATTCATTATAAATCTTCTACTTCTTCGCATTCACAGGCTTTTCAACTCTAGTGGAAACTTTTGGTTGTTCATCCACCTCCAGAATTTAGTCTTGTTCCAAAATCTGAGTCCTGCAAGCACATCCGTTTTGCAGATCTGGCCTATCTGCATGCAGATTATTGGTTCCTTGCCTCTCGAGTAGATGCACTCTGTCTTCGAAGGATGCGCTCAATTAGTCGACTATTCTTGTTTTCCTCACAATAGGGACCAAGAACCCACATGGGAATTAATTATTAATAAGAAAACTGTATGAAACAAACAACTGCTAACAACTCACGTCCTTCATTATAAAGTCAGACTCGCTCTCCACTTTCACTGAGAAGAATCTACCTCCGGTGCCTCGTGTTCGCTGACATGCATGCTTGTGTCGGGACTCGTGCAGATACTTCTGAACAGAAGAGAAACACAAAGGTCAAACATAGGCCTAGCATTGACAATGTCAACAAGGTTTACCCAAGCACAGAACTAGTGTTGACAATGTAAGGGGTTGACGGTGTAAACGAGATACATTCACTATTGCCAGTATCAGTGATACGCTTCTTTAGCCCTAGTTTCACCCTTTTCTGACTCGATGTTCTGAACATCGTTAAAGCTGATGATTAAAATAACTGATATATTCAATCATCCTAGCTCTCTTAGAGCACTCAGTATATCAACTCAACCCAGTGCATGTCCAAGTTTTACAGTAGTCCTACAGCAAGCCTAACAGCTTGTTCTTTTCCTCTTACATCCTCATTCACTAGTAAAAAAAAATTGAAATAGCTTTCTACTTCATCTTCACTTCTTTTAAAACTTCAGATGTCAAGGGAGACATAAGATTCTACATCTTGCTCTTCTGCTGGCCTCGACCATTGACACATTCAAGCTGTAGTAGTTTCTCTGATGTTATCATTCCATCTTGTTCTTGGTCTACCTTGTGCTCTACATCCTTCTCCTTTTCTGGTACATGCCTTGTATGGTATGGCATCATAAGACATTCTTTCTAAGTAAGCAAATCATGTGACTTGCTGTCTTTGTATTTAATTTAATATGGCTTCTATGCCAACTTGTTATCCTATGACCTCATTCCTGATTTTATATTATCTGGTGACTCCTGCAGTCATTCTCAGACATCTCATTTGCAGTCATTCTCAGATATTTCATTTGCAGTCCTTCTAAGACATCTCATTTCCACGGTTACTAATACTCTTTTTTCCCCCCCCCCCCCCCCCCCCCCCCCCCCCCCCCCCCCCCCCCCCCACCCCCCCCCCCCCCCCCCCCCACCACCCCACCCCCCCCCCCCCCCCCCCCCATCCCCCCCCCCCCCCCCCCCCCCGTTTGTTGTGAGTGATCATGTCTGGCACTGGTAGCATAGAGGGGGAATGAATATGCTGTGTATGAGACATTTCTTTGTGTCGGTCAGGATTGCCTTATGTTGTGAGAGGGAGTTTAGATGTCCCAATACTTGGTCTCCTCGAGGTTAATGTGATGTTAATAAAACAGTCTTGATCTTCTGAAAGACACCAACCATGTCAAGCCTAGCCCATCTCAATTTTCTTGAGCATGTCCACACCCATAGCCTGCCCAGGTTCAGTTCTGTTTGTCTCTCTAACTGGGCTAGTCCTTTAGTTACTTCCACCCTCAACAGCTAGATTACTAATAGTCAAGACAAAACATTGTCAACACAGTTCAGTTTTTCTTTGGCCTCAGAGATAAAAGTCCACAAGCTTCTCATGTCATAATCCATTAGTCTGCCAATGTCGCCATTATGGGTGCCCTAATTATACCTACATGGAGGTTGAACAGGGTATCTGGCATCTGCCTTGTTGGTTTGCCATCCAGACTTAGTTTAATAAATGTAGCAATCATCTGTCAAACTGGTGTGCATATGTCTACTTTAATGACTTTACTGCCCCCACTGGCAGATGGAGACGCAGGTTTTAAATCCTTGATAAGGCTGGGTATTTCTGCTTTTGTTTCTGTCTAGGGTGACAAAAGTGACAATTTCAGGCAGCAATGAGTTTTTTTACTGCTTGTATATGCAACTTTTTACAGTGTGTCTTGAGCCTGGCCATTCAGGGCTCCATGAATAGTTGACTTGCCATGACAGTTGTACAGATCAGGAAGTAATACTTGCCTGCTGACAAAAAACAGTTCCACTGCCCTACCAAGGATTTAAACACAGTCTCCCAAACTCAGCGTTTTTGTCAACCAACTGATTCTCCCCCGTGAACAATACAAACAACTATTTAGGGCAAATATATGATCAGACTGGTATCTGCAAGAGGACTGCCTCAGAGGTTACAACCTTTGCCTCACACAAACCTGGTCTGACTCATACTGTTGACTAAGTACACTTTACAAAGAAGAAAGAAAATGGTGACCTCTGCATTTTCTTGGGAAGGGGGGCAAAGCTCTCTTGGACAAGGGTGACATTTAAAAAAAAATGTATTTGTATCGCACACGGAGCTAAATAAAATGAAACTACTTTTGTTAAACCCAATATTCCCCCATAGTTTGAGATTGAAAAAGCCTAGTAAAACTTGGAAAACACAGCAACAAAGGAATACTTAAAGCATGTGTGTTCTGGCATGCATATACCTGACCCCTTGTCAGCCCTACAGGATTTGAGCACAGAGCTGAGATTCTCTTTACGTGTTCAATGTGAAAATACTAGAGCAGTGAGGGAAATATCAAAGTTACCCTTGACCAAAGCCACAAACAAAAACAAAACAATTGCTGTTCTGCTTCTTCTTTCGTTTGCCTGAAATAAGTTGTCTATATCAGCAATTTTGTCTCTTGTATAAATTTCACTGTTGTTGTTAATTCATTCAGTGGTCCATAGAGTTTACGTTCCACTGTTGTTCTTTCTGGCCAAAAGGTTTGCCTTAATGTGTCAAATTCTGTGTAGTCCTGGAGTACATGCTCTGCTGTCTGGGGCACCTTTCCACAGTTGCACATGACTGATACGCCCGTCTTGAATTTTGTGTACATGTAATTACATAATCAGTTGTGCCCTGTTCTGAGGCGGAGGATAATGACTTGTTCTGATCTGTCCATAAAAAAATAGTCATCTTGTGCTGGGGCTGGTGGTTTCCTGATCGATTTAATTATTCTTTTCTTTTGGTGTTATGTGACTGGTACATCCGGCTGCACTTCTGTCGCACCTTCTGCTGCCAGTTGATCACAATTGTTGTTTAAAATAAATCAGTAGCAAAGTAATTTTTTTATTTTAACATCAGCAGTGCATCAAGCACATCTGAGCGGTGATGTGGTCAACATCAAGTCAGCCGCCTTTACTTCCCAGGACATTACCTGGAACCCATTTTAGGCTGGGTACAAAATAAAATAATACAAAAGGAGTTTAACTTGAGCTAAGATTAATCTCATTTTAGCAGGAGAGCAATACAGTGGTCAGTTTTCACAGAGACAGAGGATCCGAGTTCAACCTTTGTGTTTATAATATAACACAGAAATAGGTGCCCCGACTATGATATGTTACTTGCCACAGAAGTTACCCATCCACTATTTGTGACAAACAATGATAGGTCACAGGTTCACATCAGCCAGCATGCTGTCCAAGACAATAAATAGATTCCCCATAACAGAGAGAGGAAAAAAAATTTGGCCTCAAACTGTATACAGCATGCAAGGCTAAGAGACTGATACAGTCAAATGTAAAACTAAAGCATTTCAGTCATCAGACTGGGCTGGAAGGAAACTGAAAAAAAAAAAGTAGAAGAAATAAAAACAAAATGGGAGAACAGCCAACAGCCAACAAAGAACAACAGCTGTACAAACCATTGAAAGGTTTTAGAACAGTGATTCGCATCACTGACCTTACGTTTCCGAACAACTTTTCCGGAACTTTCCAACTTTGCCCTGGCTGCTCGTCTTTTCAAAATACGGTGGTACTGTTTGGCATTGACATACAAGGGTTGTGTATCATCATCAGGGTCTTCAGCCGCTATCTGTATTCTCCCAACGGGATGTGGAGACGCTGACGTGGTTGTGGTGTTGGTAGACCCAGGTACGGAGGACTGGTGAAGAGAAAGTCAGAAAAACACAGGCATAACAATTATCTGCTCTTATAAAATGGCTGTTTACATGTTGCATTCGCCCTTAAAGACGAGGGGTGACAAACTGTGACGTGGTTTACAGCTAGGCCGAGATACCCGTACCTTTAATCAAATCCTTAATTTACTAAATGTTTATTAAGAAGCAGTGGGTATATTCTTTCTCTCCAAAAACAAGGCCCCAGGACAAACACTGTTTATAGGAGTTCAATTCAAAAAAATAGCCAGCTTTGGGTGACAGAAATATAATTACTCATTAGGTGGTCTGAAACCACAGAGGAAAACCGGCTCATCAACAGCACCCTACCACAAAGCTAAGGTATTTTGGCCATGTTGGACATGATGGCGGCCTGGAGAGAACGGCGGTGGAAGGTACAATTTCTGGAAAATGAGGCACGGGCAGACCTCTGTGAAGGTGGATACAAGACAAGGAAGATGTGCTGGCTGTGAAAGCACATAGGGCTGGAGAGTTGGCTAGAGAAAGAGAAACTTTCAACATCCTGTACAGAACCTGCTGATTAATGATGGTCTGAAATCCTGAATCTCATCTCCCTGGGACACTGCAGAGTTCTGCCACGAGTGACCCAATAATGTTTATGTCCCCCCACTACAAGGTTCAACTGCGTGTCCTACTCAACATTTTTACAACCACCATGTCTATTATGTACAGAATCATCATTAATATCAACAGTATACATTTCTAACGCTGAATGTTTAAATTCATTAGCTTTCTAAGCACCACTCAGAATAAGGTTTTCAAACAAAGACAGACAACTTCAGAAGAAAATATTTATCATGATTATTCCCCCTTGCCATGGATTATGTGCCCAAGTAGCCTTTCCGGTAAGGTTTGCATCCAGACTCACTGTTTGCTCTTAGGGTGGTTTCAAACTTTAAGAAACAGCCCAGAGAGAAGATATGGAAGGAAGGAAGATTCAATACTGTTATCCTACTCACAGGAAACCGGGCAAAGTGTCTCTAAATGGTTTAAGATTTTCTTTTACTTCTGTAAAATTCTGGAGTGGATCCTTTAGCTCACAAGTTCGGGTGCATCAGAAATCCCCAGCGCTTCAGAAAGATGTGTGTGGAGGATTGGGGGGAAGGGCTGCAAAAGCCCTCTGCCTCGCGCTCAGAAAGTTGCATGTGTTCATTTCACAGACTGCATCATTTGGTTCATGGATGCAATTTCTTCGGAAACCCATGGGGAGTGTAGCTGGAACTACAAAGTTCATGCTTCGTGCAATGCTCTTGGCAGGCAGCTAGCCATACTGTAGAGAGAGAACAGGTCAAATGGAATAACACCTGATGCAATGAAGTAGATCCTCAAAGCCTAAAACAGCACTAATCCCAGCATTCAATTAACCCTTTCAGCCCGCACATGATTTAAAACAAAAAGTTATGAACCCACGGAAGTTTCTGTAAAATCCATTTTAAAAAACAAACTACTTTACACACAATTAAAAAATTGTTTTAAAATGTATCAACACTTTTTAAAGTTTTGTTCGAAATCTAAAACTGACACACAAAGCTAGAAACATATAATGAAAAGCATTCCATGTGAACCCGTGACCTGTATCACTGAGACTTACAAGAAAATTTTTATTCAACCTGGCTTTAGCAAAGCTAATCCATTCCAAAAGAAACCTCTATAAATGATATTTATAAACATATCCAGCATTCCTAAACACCATATAAGTGTAAATAAAACTAACGGCTCAATCACGCTTTTTGATAACAGGTCATGGCAGAAAGCGGCGACCGCGGCTTAGGCTCATAATCCCAATGTACCGTGACTGAAACCCACTGCAGGCTGCGTGGATTTTTATCATGGTATGGGGCGTCATTGGTCGATCCAGCCTTAAATAAAAAGGTAAAGGTAAAACTGGGTACCAGGATGGCTGTCCTGGGAAAGTAAAGACGGCTGGTGTAATGCTGACCACATTACCCACCTTGTGCCGATTGGTCTGTGAAAATATGGGTGCTCTTCCCATATGCCCTATGCACCTAAGGCGTTAAAAAGGATCTTTACTTTACTTTACTTTACTTTCATGGCGATACATCTGCATTTACAGGACTGTGTCACAACCGGAAGCTATTGGATTTAGTTTTTCTTTTGCAGCGATGGGGTTAAAGAAGTGCACACAAATGTTTAGGATAATAATACTCAAAGCTACATACCATGGAATCACCACTGACCAATGCCGAGTGGTGAGATTCATTGTTGTCATGCTCTGTGCTGTTGTGTTCTCCTATCCCTGATGTGTTCAGATCTTGCTGAATTGTTGACTCCACATTTTGGTTCTGTGTGACAACTGGGTAAATGGTGGAAAGAAAACCGGATCTGTTATTTTCAGTTAAGCATTTTTTTTTAAATCTATTTTTTTCTTTCTGTACCACCTCAATAATGAAGGCCAGCCACAATTTACTCACTGCTTTTTGGAGAATATTATGTAGTAAGGCCCCAATCACTTCTGAAGTGTGAGTCTCAATGCTTGAGTCAGAAAATAATTTTTTTTTTTCAATCAGCCATTCACCATGAAAATCGAATCCTAATATGTGAGACTTCAACAAAGATGACACAAACAATAAACTGCAAAATTTATTGCCTGGCAAATTTCACTGTATCTCGTCAGGTGCATACAACAGTAACAACTTATCAAAGGCAATAAATGGGCATAGTAATAAACTGGGCAGATCAAGATCAGTAAACTGCAATTTATTGTTTGTGTATTCTGTATTCTATAATTTGAAAGAGCTGGGACGTACTGAGAGAATGTCAGATGACAGAGAGATCAAAACTGTACACATGGCAGTTGAATTACCATAGACCACGAGGCAGACCAGTCATTTCAGTCTACTAGCTGCCATGATGCTAGCAACCAATAATGATTTAAACAGAATATAAATTAGATATTCATTTGACTACTCAGTTTACCTCAAACAGCAAATCAAAATTGGGAACATACAAGAGATGTTCGTTTTCTGTGGATTTTAAACAGGAATATCATAATGTACACGGAAACCTACTGAATGCTGTTTAGTACTCTGGCTTTTAATCATTAATGACCATACTGATCAAGATGCATACACATGTAGTAATTGTAACAGACTGAAAGCATGCTGAAAAAAGGCGAAGGCAGGGATGCTTCAGCAGAGTGGCAAGCTTCACTGGAAAGGTCACAGGGAGTGAGCATACTCTGGATCTTTTCTCCAGGCAATGCCAGCGTGGTGGGTAATGAACAGGCAGACAGACTGGCTGGATCTGCTCCCCTGGGTGGTGAATTGATACATGACAAGGCAGATGTGGTTAAGACCCTTTGGGAACAAGCAACGGAATCAGTAGAGAAAGAAGATTATTATGGCCTGGAGAGACTGAGACGCTTGGGTCTAACTAGAGGGTCTGGCCGGCTGACTACATTCAGAAGAAAGGCAAGACGGACATTTAACCAGATTGTGACCGGTACCATCAGCGTTGGAAATCTGCGCTCACTGCTAAAGATGAGGACAGAGCAGCATGGGAATGCCCCAAGTGTTGTGGTGTCAATTCTTGACTCAACTCAAATGACCACACTGAATGGAAGACTTGCAATATAGTAACATAAAAGGCAGAAAGTCAGAGTCTTGTTAAAAAAACATCTGGTTTAAAGCAAGGTGATGCTCTGTCCCCACTTCTTTTCAACTTGACCCTGCAGAAAATTATAAGGAAATTGACAAAAAAAAAAAAAGAATAACTCCTATACGAGAAACTACAAGAACACTTGGTTATTCAGATGACCTTGATATAGTTGGAGAAAATCAATCAGGGAAAATAAAAACACTATCTTTCTTAAAGGAAGCAGCTTTCAAGGACAAAACCATAATTACAATAATTTCTAAATAAGGTAAATAAAATAACTATGCTTTAGTCGACTTTATGCTACCAGTTTCAAAACTGGACCTTCAATTAAAAAAAAAAAAGAGCATAAAATAATAACAACAGAGATATCTAAGAAGAGGTGGCAGAGTAAAAAGAAGAGATAAAAGTTAAAAAGAAATTAACTGGGAAGGCTAACCCGGTCAACAAATGCCCACAAAAGTCTGTTGGCAGAAAGGTATAAATATCGGAGCCATGCTGTTAACGGACACAACGCAATTACATCTTCGGATTAATGCAGAAGAAGAAGAAAAAATGAAATTAGAAGACGAGGAATCGAACCAGGCATACAGTTCATTAATGAGCAACAGATGAGATGGTTTGGTTATCTGATGAGAATACCCTGGGACCAACTGCCACAGAGAGCCATGCTGAACACAAAGCAGGACCTTGCACAACATGTACAGACTGCACTAAAAACAGCATTAAAGAAATTAAGATCAACTTATGCAGCACTTGAGGTCTGAGGTTTGAATAACAGATCAACATCATGGCACAAGTAGCTCAGCGCAGTGCACGGGTTCCACAGCACCGGTGAGGATCCTGAAATATTTTGTGTAGATTTTGAACTCTAAATTTTGCCAGGACAGCGCCGTAGGCTTTTTTTTTTATAAATTTCCAAACGTCAAGGGATTTTGTACGCGCGCAAAAATACACACAGGCGTCTGATTTAACTACCCAGAAACCAGAGGAAATTAGTAGAAGTCCACATGAAAAAAATCCCAGCCTTCACCGGGGCTTGAACCCGAGACCTCTAGCACATGAGGCGGACACCATACCTGAAGACCATGCAGTTCCCTTATGCAGCACTTGAAAAAGAACACAGAAAACACACCCTGATGAGGTATGTGTGAAGAAGACAATAATAATACAGCATAATTTCAGGGTTACCTGCTGCCTGAGAAAACTGTAATGATGCTGCTGCTGCCGCCGCAGCGGCCGCATTGTTATCTACTGTTCCAAACATGTTGGTGGGCTGCCATACAAGTCCACTCTCTGTCTGGACAAACTGACCAACCATCTGGGTCTGGTTCTGTGCTTGCAGGAACATCTGCAGACAGTATATAATGAAAATTGTTTTTAAAAAAAATTGTTTCTGCGTTTACTAATGAGAGAATTCTCTTATATATCCTATTTTAAAAGTTTACTGAATAGCTCAAGCAGGGGCAGCATTTTACAGGAAAAAAGAATACCTTATGCAATCTTTCTATGTCAATTGAGATGAGAAACATAATTCTTAAAATAGATAGAATCCTTTACTGATATATAGAAGTTAATAATGGACAGTTGTTAAATTAGTGAAAACTTATTTGGAAGCTGTGGAGATGTGGTTTTAAAGATGAATGATGAGAATACCCTGTACAGATTTAAAAAAAAAAAAAAGTCATGAGGACATCTTGAAAGAAACTTGACTCACAAAGAGAACTGATTGCCCACAATTAGAGACAGTCTACATTCTTTGGTGGTCATGTGATGAGAAGGAGAAAACTGGGGTACACAGTGACAGAAGGAAAGTTAGAGGGGAGGAGATGCAGAGGGAGACCAAGAAAACAGATGCTGGACAGTCTGACATCATAGCATGGAGCATCATCTGTATCAGAGTTGATTGAAAGTACAAGAGACAGAAGGTTGTGGATAGACATGACTACCAATGCCACAGACTTCAAGAAAAAGAAGAAGAAGAAGAAGAAGCTTTTTTCCAAACAACATTCCTGTGTGGGTTACAGAGCCCCACTGTGGGGGAAAACTAGAACAGACACACATCTTCCCCAACAAGATGTAAGAGTCGACTAACTGGGTGCTTCCTTCAAAGTCAGAGTGCATCTGCCTGAGAGGCAAGGAATCAACAATGTGCACAGAAATAAGTCAGATCTGTTAAACAGATGTGCATGCAACAGTCAGGTTCTGAAAGAAGACTAAAGTTCAAGGGGTGGGCAAAAAACCAGAACTCACCACCAGACATTACAGGCGATGAAATTGAAGAAGAAGATTTTCACAGCATGAGATCAAAATCATATAATGCTGTTTCTTCTTTATTTACCTATTTGTTTTCTATAAGTGCAATGTATCTTTTAACAGCAGCACTGCACTACTGACACCCCTTGTCGACACATCTCACTTCTTTGGGTAATTACTGGCTGGGTTAGCCTACCAGCTTTGTTGGGATGGAAAGTCAGGATTTATTTGGTTCTTCTTTCTCATTCATCACTTTGATTCTAGTCAAGAAGGACTGGGGACTGAGTACAAATGTCTCTATCTGGGTGATGGACTTCTTTTCTGAGAACAACTTCAAGAAAGGGTTCTAGATACACACAAGCAGAGAAGAAATCCAAGAGCTTTGTCTTGCTCAAAGAGCCCAAGAGTAATCAGATATAACATTTAACCCTCTCACTGCTAGTCTTTCCTTATTTCCCCTTAACTGTTCAAGATTCATAATAGTACAGTTTTATGAGTAAGGATCACAAGCCCTCCCTCTTGGGGTGTTGTTAGTTTTGCTTGCACACATCTCTGACTGTTTAGACAGCTGTCTACATAAATATAAACACACACACACACACAAAGGTTATTGGCATTGCTGAGACGGCAGCTCAATTTATTTCCACAAGAGACAGCAGCTTTGGACATTCTGTGTGGTTCCTGTTGGCACAGCAGTGAAATAATTATGGGGTGACCCATTTGCCAAGAAGTTGGAAATATTTGTCTGGTCTGTCTACTTCATGCCCGATAGCCTCCCTGGTCATATGTTCAAATCACCACCAAAGATCATTTCTGAACAAAGACTGACAATTTCTGAATTGATTATCAAGAAACATTGTGGAAAGCAAAGGTGGCCAGCGGTATAATTTCCACATTCCCTTAAAAAGTGGTGACTGGTCTTTTGGTGGTTATCACCATTTACCCAATTCTAAACGAGTTCTTTACTTTTGCTTTTACTGACCTGCTGTAAAGGATTTAAAAGTCCTCCTAGCTGGTCTGCTCCAAGCATCAGTGGAACCTGTGGAAGGACAGGGAAATTAGCAACATTTAACACAGCCTGCACTGCAAGAGAGATATGGTACAATGCCAGATAAACAGGAACAATAAAATTGTGAATGAAGATAGTGCATCTTTCCTATAGCAACATGTGGATGGACATCTAAGACCAAGTGGCTCCATAGTAGCTTCCTGAGTTTGCCCATGTTAACCTTACAAAACACATACACCTGTCAATATTAAAAGGAGGTGGTTGTAGTAGAGCTGAATGCACACATCACTTTATATTCACATCTGTTTTTACAGGTCTGACTTATTTGTATGCAGACTATTGGTTCCTTGCACCAGGCAGATGATGGGCACCTAATTAGTCATCTTTTATGGCATACTTGCTGGTTGAAAAAAAAAAGAGTGTGTTGTGTGTGTGTGTGGGGGGGGGGGGGGGGGTCGTGTCTATTCATTTTCCAGTACAGAAGTATAATTTGTACAAAAACAGGCAAGCTCACACAGTACAGAAATACAGACAGTATACTAACGGACAGAGTATGTTTTTGTTATTCTCTAAGACCCCCCCCCCCCCCCCCAATTAAAATATCCACTGAAATATTCATTGGTTCAGCTGGAACTCTTTCTTAAAGCAGGGAACTTTATCTCATTAACATTCCTCCTTCAAAGATGAGGCTCACAAAGATGAGAAGTGTAGAAAGTACATTAACAGATAAGGCTCACACAGATGAGAGGCATAAGAAAGTACACCAACAGGTGAGGCTTACACAGGTGAGGTGGATGGACTAATACTCACCACCTGCTGTATGATCTGCCCATTAGGACCCTGGACGTGCACGACCTGACACGGCTGACCCTGTATGGACATCATCTGGAGCTGCTGGTTGGGAAGTTGTACAGTTTGTAGTTGCTGCCCTTGCAGCTGCAGCACCTGGCCCAACTGGTTCTGCAGTTGGAATGGCTGAGTTTGAATTTGCTGCCCATGCAGTTGAAGAGTTTGCTGGGGCTGAATCTGAATCTGCTGACCATTAGGCAACTGCATGATCTGACCGCCAGCTCCATGAAGCTGGATTGAATGGCCATTTTGGGTCTGTATGTGAATTGGCTGACCATTCTGTGCCTGAAGTTGTATCTGTTGACCGTTCTGACCCTGCACCTGTAAATGCTGACCATGCTGGTTCTGAATTTGTATAGACTGTCCATTTTGACTCTGAAGCTGAATAGACTGACCATTCTGAGATTGAAGTTGTAACTGCTGCCCATTCTGTCCTTGCAGCTGTATTGTTTGGCCGTTGGAGCCTTGAATTTGTATGGCCTGGCCGTTCTGACCCTGGATCTGGATGGGTTGCCCCTGCTGATTCTGCAGCTGTATATGTTGGAGATGTTGGGGCAGCTGAATGCTCTGACCTTGACCTGGCAGCTGGATGGCTTGACCTTGACTTAAATGTTGTAGCAATTGTTGTTGGTTCAATAAAAACTGTCCCCCTTGTCCAAGCTGAAGCAGAGGAAATTGCTGTGGATAATTTTAAAGTTAATTATCAAGAGATTGACAAAGACATTTTGTAAACATTTCATCATCAATTAGTGGGTCCTTTTCAGGACGTTGTTCTTGTCATGGCATACCTGACAGCTTCTCCTTCTCTAGAGCTAATTCTCGAGCTGTTTTCTTTTCACTGCCTCGTATCCACTCTCACAAAGGTGTGCCTCATTTTCTGGTAATCGTACCCTCCATCATCAATCTTGCCTGGCCACCATGACATTTGGCAAAATATCTTAGCTTTCAGGAGAGGATGCTGTTTATGAGCCAATTCTCCTCAACGTTAGATCTGAAACATTTTAAGTTAATCAACAAAGGGAAGCCCTAGCTGTGTGGTGGCCAGAACATGTTAGGGCCAATTATGTAATATTCAGACAACACTCTTTTCCTCAAAGTATAGAACTTCATCTTCTTTTTCACAATCAATTATTTTTTTTTCTAGCTATCTCACCATCAGTTGATACCTACTGCAAATTGGTTTGCTTTTCTAACAGGGCTTTTCATTTTTTCATGTGTGTGAATTCACACACAAAATTTTTTAACCAAACAACCATTTTATATAGGTCACAAATAAATGTTTAAAGGGGGGAAATCAAACAACAAAAACAGAATGAAGCATTAGAGAGAACACATTAATAAAAACAAATATGTACCGGCTGACTCATACCAAGACACTGTGACCTCTATCCCTAGGGCTTACAGGAAAACTCTACATTAACTTAGCTTTCAAAGTGCTTTTCGAGACTAGGTCACTGCACAAATGCCAACAAATAAACATGTAGAAAGAATTAGGTATGCCAACAGGAAGAACATGAGTAACGAAGACCTGAAAGAAATGGCTTTTTGCTTCAAAAAGAGCATAAAAACAGCATCAGTACCACACAACTAAGTGCACAGCTATCAATGTCTCTCCCAAAACTAGGCAAAGATAACTGAAGAGTCAGCAGCTTTAAGATTACAGACCCACTGATGCATGACAAAGAAGATCATAAATTACATACCATTCTCCTAAAAGACGTTACTAATGATGGGACATAACTCACCTGCCCTTGTAGCTGAATTTGACCCTGGCCTTGCAACTGCTGCAGCTGAAAATTCTGCAAGGCGTTTTGGGCCTGTACATACTGACCCATGGCCTGACCAGAGGGGTCAAAGTTCATCACCGACGTTTGCAGATCCATGGGTGCAGCAGCAGAAACTGCACTACCAAATAGGTCGTAGAACGCCGTTGAAACTGCTGCTTGGACAACACACAAAATAAAATTAACATAAACATTACTGTTTCCTGTAAAACATCATGCTCAAGACTACAGTCACTGATCGGTGTTACACTGTCACACTTTATTCTTCATGTTATTCTATTTCCTGTCACTAGCAGGTATTAAATTATCATATTTATATGGTTTTTGCAGAGGCTAAGCGCACCCATAGGGGCACAGGATGTAAGATAAACTTTGGCTAGAAAAGTGCACGAGCTGGGAAAGCTGGCAACAGACCTGGGTTTCTTTTAGTTGGGGTGTGTGATAAGATCGACATTCTACAAAGGACCTGCTGCATGATGCAGACAGCTTTTGGTGTACCTTCTGTCACCACCGTCTTCCACTTTTGCCTTCAGTGTCAGGAGAAGGAACATTCTGAAATCCAGTCCTTGATGAAAGGCACTGGCCACTGCAATTTACTGTGGATGTAGCACGTCTTTAATATTATCAGTCCATGTTCTCCTTGGGCGCCCTCTTGCTCTCAACATCAGATCTGTTTAGCTGCAGCCCTTGTCCCAACTTATTCTGCTTTTTGTGTGGATTCAAAGGCCCTATCTGGGGAAAGGGGGTGGCAGAACAGAACCACTGTCCATCTGTAACAAGCATGTCAAAAAAGTTGCCTAAATAAGGCTGTTAGGTGCATCTGCCTAAAAGGCAAGGAACCAACAGTCAGCACACAAGTAAGCCAGATCTGTCATGCTAAACTCAAGCTCTGGAACAAGCATTAAAACCAGAAGTGGACAAACAACCAGAACTTTCTGTTGGGAATTTACAGCTGCTGAGAGCTAGAAGAAACAACAAAATTCTGTATATAATTGATTCAAGCAGAAAGAAAAGGCCCAATACTTGAAGTAAAGGACTCTTTGCGCCAGTGGTGCACTGGAACTATGATGACTGAATTCACATTTTTATAGACCAACTGGCACTTGATGGATGATCTAAGCAAACAAATGACAAAAGGCTGAATCAGAAATGCCAGAGATCGGGACAAATAATGGTAAATATACAATCCATATACTAAAAAAAAAATATTACAATGGGTAGAAAAACAAAATACTGCTGAAAGTTTAAAAAAAAAATGGTGCAAAATTAATGGAGAACAAAATAACAGATGGATAGAATGCAAAGCAGCGATAATATAATAAGAATCAGGTTGCAAATATTCAAGACTTTGATGGAAGGCCCAAAAATGGTGCAAAAGTAGCAGGTGCACTATACTACACGAAGGAAGGAAAGGTACTTGGACCAAACATTATGTTAAAGGGGGAATTAGGCCATCGTAAATCACAGAATTAATAATATAACATCAAAATTATATCTACACTGTAGGGGCATTCATATGACCTGTTAAATCCATTTGTATAACTTTCCACAGAAAGCAGGTGCTTGAGAATATAAAGTTCATGTTATTTCCCCCTTACCTGCATACGACTGCATCCCACCTGACTGGCATAGCCGTTACGAGGGCCACAATTACAACTTCTCTTGAGTTCCCAGTGTGGGTGCATTTTGGGAAAATAAAGAATAGACCCACTGCCCCTGTAATGAGCAGGTCGTAGGAGGCGACTAATTAGAGGTGTTTTTTTTCAAAGTCTGAGTGCTTCCACCTGAGAGGCAAGGAACCAACAGTCAGCATACAAATAAGCCAGATATGTGAAACGGATGCGCATGCAAAACTCAAGCTCTAGATCAAAAACTAAGTCCAGGAGTGAATGAATAACCAGAACTTTCTGCCAGAGTTTACAGCCAGTAAATGCTATGAAGAAGATCATGCATTTCTTGGTCAGTCCAACAATAATATAAGGTACATACTGCCCTCTATCATTGATTGAAGTGACATTAGCCCTTCGTATTACAAAAGACAGTGAAGTTTATACGAGAGACAACATTGCAGATATAATATATGTGAAGCGGACAAAAGAAGAACCCTATGTATCTGAATTATGACTTTAATTATTGTTGTTTTGTAGTCTCCACTGAGCTTCTCAGCACCTAACAATTACCTTTAAGCTTGACTCCTTGGGATAGGAGCTGAGCTGAAGTAACAGCAGCTTTGGGCTGAAAACAGTTAACCTACCCTACCTGAATCCTTACATTAAGCCCTTGTGTCCCATAGTGTTAAATCAACCAAAAAACAGTTAATGTCACTGACATTTGCACAATATTACTTAATTTAAGGAAAGCTACTTAGACTAGAATCTTGCTGGCAGAACATTCAGAGATTATGGAATCAAATTAATATAATGTATAAGTTTATCTATAATTTGTCAGTGCATTTATGTCAATAATGACACATGATAAAACCAATATTTTAATATGTGACAACCCCCCCCCCCCCCCCCCCCCCCCCTCCTTATTGAAACTCAATACAACAACAATAATAAAATAACCTACAACTAGTGTCTGGGAGAAGAAAGTTGACAGATGGTATGTGGGTGTAATCTGAAGCTTGTGCTGAAATAACAGAAGACTTGCCTCAGAAAAATGAGAGGCCCTGTTGTACAGCCGTTTCTGATCATATAAACATTGAAACCAGATTCATTTATTAAAATAAAAGACTGTAAAATGGTCAATACGTGGTGGAATGATCGGTCTTGTAGGGGCTAACTGATCCAACCATACTTTCTTTTCGCATTTGAATACTTATTTCTTTAAATCGTTTGGCCAAGCGATGGCGTCTTGTCTTTCGTTCATTTTGCCGCGGTCGGTGGGAAACTGAAGTAGCTGCCATTGGTACATGTTTCTGTTGTGTTATTTCACATTTAAGATCGACATATTGACTTCTGTCCCGCGTTTTGTGTGCGAATCAATGGCGTGAATACAATCGCCCCCCAAAGTCTACAAGACGAACGTAAGAAGAAATTAACTAACTTGGACGTTTCGCCGTCGTCTTGTGGTTATTTCGCGGGTCCCGTCGGGTTTTGGGAGGATACAACTTGAAGCATAAAAAGTACAAACAACAAATATGTCACACGTGCTACTAGATTGGCCACTATGGAAATCTTACTGGTTGCCTAGAACAATCAAAAGGCCTTGAGCAAGCAGGGAGGTGCTTTGCGCTAAGATCCCAGGTCCGAGCACTGCACGGCCATTTCCATTTGCAATCTGCATAAATTACAGCGGAGGCCTCGACCAACCAGCGAACAAAGAAGCCACGCTAACAACATGGTGCTCCTTGTCGGCTGCTGGACATAAACCACAATATGGCTCTTCTTCTGTCATAACGGCCACCACAAATGTTAGTTAACTGCGGCGGCGGTAGGTTACAAGTTAGTATCACTAACGGTAAGCAAGAAAACAAAGGGTTTAAGGAGAACTTACATGGGGCTGTCTCAGACACTTCTGAACTGATTGGTTGTGTCGGCTCTCCACAGACGACGGCGAATCACGGGATGCTCCTTGCTCGACCCGACCACAGCCAGGCCGCCATTGGCTCTATTCCCCCACTCCTCTCCTCCACTTGTCGTACAGTACTTCCCCCAACGCTACTATCTTAAATTCATAATTTTACCTAGTCAATATAAAATAATATTTCAAACATATAATTTTACGTGTGATTATGCTAAATGTGTAGCTAAATACTTGTTAGGTGGAGGATATTATAGTGGTTTGTTGATGTTACCGAGGGAGGTGGTTGATGGAAGAGCGGCAGACGTGGTTGAGCAGAGCCAGCCAAAAACTTGTCAATAAAGTATGGCAGAGAGAACGAGGCCTGGTCGAGGGCTTCACGAGTCGCCGATCGATCGACCGTTTCTCTGGGCTTGGGTGAGCATTTTCTACCTTGACTACACTGTAGCCATTCAACAGCCTTCTTTTAGTTCGTTCTTTCTTCCAGACACGCCGATTGAAACGCAAGACTATTTTTTTAACCTTCGTGGTATAATTTTTTTGAGTTCCTTGTGTAAGATTGCAATTCCATTTGTTTATGTTTTAATAAATATACCCCACGTTGCAAGACAATCCCCCTTGGTGATTCATTCACACTTCCCATCCCAAAGCTTTCAAAAGAAAGAATTCTGTTTTTGTCACACCATTTTGACAAGTTATGCCTCGCGTATATACTGTCAACTGACACCCAGAATACAAAAACCCTTTAAAAAACAACTCATAAACTGGTCTTAAAGTTAGGTTTAGCAATGTTTGTCTTCTTCTTCTTCGCGTTTACCAGCAGTAAACTCTGGCGGAAGGTTCTGGTGCTCGTCCACTACTGAACTGCACTCCTGCTCCAGAACCTGAGTGTTGCGTGTGCATCAGTTTTACAGATCTCATTCTTTTGAACACAGACTGTTGGTTCCTTGCCTCTCCGGCAGATGCACTCCGACTTCAAAGGAAGCTCCCCAATTAGTCGACTCTTACGACATGCTTTTGTGGAGGCAGTGGGTCTATTCTTGTTTTCTCCGCAATGGGGCCCCGGAACCCACACGGGGGAGCAATGTTTGTGAATGAGATAACAATATCTCAAGTGGCATCTTACCGGGTCTGGTTTTCTCTCTCTCTCTCTCTCTCTCTCTCTCTCTCTCTCTCTCTCTCTCTCTCTCTCTCTCTCTCTCTCTCTCTCTCTCTCTCTCTCTCTTTCTCCCTCTCTCTCGGGAAGAAAAATGGGCAGCCGAAAAATGTGCCGCGACTCACCACAAAACGATACGGGTACTGACATCCATTGCTTACTGCTAGAGAAAATGCTCAGCATGTTATTACAATCGATGTCTTTGCATATTGGGCATTCCCATACATGATCAGTCCTCAGATGCAGTAGCCACTCCAAATTAATTCTGTTAATCTGAGCCCTGCATCTTACCCTATAACATGTAACCAAAGTGTGCCCAGGGGATCCACATTGCGAGAGAAGCTATGGGGGGACCGGTGGCGACCTTAAACGCACAATCCTATTTTTGACCCAGACGGGACTCAATGTGTAGCATGACTGATGTCGAACGCAGAAGAAGAAATAACCAAAGTGTTAAAGAAAATTGTATCCTCTTTAGCAGGTGTGAATATATTAAACAACCAGAATAGAACTGACACCTCTATCTTAATTGTGAATTTTTGGACCCATCAGTATATTAAACAACCAGAATAGAACTGACACCTCTATCTTAATTGTGAATGTTTGGACCCATCAATATATTAAACAACCAGAATAGAACTGATACCTCTATCTCAATTGTGAATTTTTGGACCCATCAGTATATTAAACAACCAGAATAGAACTGACACCTCTATCTTAATTGTGAATGTTTGGACCCATCAATATATTAAACAACCAGAATAGAACTGATACCTCTATCTCAATTGTGAATGTTTGGACCCATCAATAAATTAAACAACCAGAATAGAACTGACACCTCTATCTCAATTGTGAATGTTTGGACCCATCAGTAAATTAAACAACCAGAATAGAACTGACACCTCTATCTTAATTGTGAATGTTTGGACCCATCAATATATTAAACAACCATAATAGGACTGATACCTCTATCTTAATTGTGAATGTTTGGACCCATCAATAAATTAAACAACCAGAATAGAACTGACACCTCTATCTCAATTGTGAATGTTTGGACCCATCAGTAAATTAAACAACCAGAATAGAACTGACACCTCTATCTCAATTGTGAATGTTTGGACCCATCAGTAAATTAAACAACCAGAATAGAACTGACACCTCTATCTTAATTGTGAATGTTTGGACCCATCAATATATTAAACAACCATAATAGGACTGATACCTCTATCTTAATTGTGAATGTTTGTCCCCATCAAGGATGAACGAACGAACAAACTTTATTTCCGAAGGGTTACAAATTGAACACGCAGGCCCGTCTGACATCTGGCCCTTCTAAGCACTCATCTTTCAGAGTATCAATGCCTGTTATCAATAATGCATGTTATGTATATAATAAAAATTATACATTATAGAATAATGCATATAAACATCATGTGTACATAATCTTACACGCTCAAACGTACGCATACTCTTACATTCTCATACATACACAGACATATGTAATACATACATACACACACCCACATATATATGCACACATACATACACCCACATAGGCTACATCTACATGCATACATAATACAAACATACATTCATACATACACCAACACACATACATGTAAATACATACACAAACATGACACACACACACATACATACATACATACACACACACATTCCATAAATTCTTCTCAGGTATCATCATCAACATGTAATTAGTCGTTTTGTAGAACGTCGCTCTCATGACAGTCTGCCTGAAAGAAACGCGGTCTCACGCCTCGTGTACTTTCATACTCAAGGAGTCACTTATATCCTTTGCCCATCTTTGTGTCGGTCGGCCCCTGCCCCTCCTTCCTTCTACCACACCTTCTGCTGTCATTTTGTCCAATCCATTGTGGCCCTTGATATGACAAAAATATTTCAGTTTCCGCGACAGGATGCTATTTATTAGCCAATCTTCCTTGATGTTCAGATCTTTCAAGATGTCAGTATTTCACCTCTTCGTTTCTCAGGTATTACCATAACTTATTCACTCTAAAAAAAAGGTGTCTGTACTCACCCAAAAGTGTATAAAACAGTGCTGGTGTCTATTACAGTAGTGCTGGAAAAAAAGTGCCAGTACCTCATGCCGTTGTGTACCACCAGAAACAAGCCACAGACTGGTAATCAGGTCACAGTTTACTGTCTATATCCGTTTGTCTCTTCTATAACCAATGGACATCGCTTAGTGCAGCAAAGCCTGGCATATATCACATCACAACGTCAAGTTTGAGAATGGAGGTGGAGGCAGTCACTGTGCCTTTGTAGACAGTTAAATCTTCTTGCCAGACTTGTAGATTAATCTTCAATGTCACAACTTCTAGCATATTCTGATTCAATCATCATTAATTGCTGGCATTATGAAGGTTCAAAGACAGCAGTGGTTGAGGCATCTAGAGAAAATGGCAGATTAACAGCCAGACACACACAAAACTGAACACAAAAGAGTTGAGTACACTACAAGACAGACCATGAAGATGGTGGTGAGATCATATCCTGGCAGATTCACAAGCTCTTTCAGTCACCAACACGTAAAGAGAAAGCCAGTCACAGAGATAAATAAAGACAGCTTAAATCTGCAGCAGTCATCTTCTTCTTTCACTCTTAAAACAGTAGTTGGAACATTGTTTTCTGATTTTTAGCTAGGCTGCTATATCTGCACTTTTCTATCCATCATATCTGAAATCCTAAATTAGTTGTCACCTTTGCCGCATGCTTGTTAAAGGGTAATGGGTTGATCTCCCAACACCCAGTGGGGTCCCAGAACCCATAGAGGTAGCAACTTCTATTCAAAGACATATCAGCTGATCTGGCTTACATTGCTTTCATTATATTACCTGTAGATTACTCTCTTGTATTGCCTGTAGATTGCTTTCTTATATTGCCTGTTTTCTTTCCTGTATTGCTTGCAGACTGCTTTCTTATATTGCCTGTTTACTTTCTTATATTGCCTGTATATTGCTTTCTTACATCTCCTGTTTTCTTTCCTATATTGCTTGTTGATTGCTTTCTTATATTGCCTGTTTACTTTCTTATATTGCCTGTATATTGCTTTCTTACATCTCCTGTTTTCTTTCCTATATTGCTTGTTGATTGCTTTCTTATATTGCCTGTTTACTTTCTTATATTGCCTGTATATTGCTTTCTTACATCTCCTGTTTTTCTTTCCTATATTGCTTGTTGATTGCTTTCTTATATTGCCTGTTTACTTTCTTATATTGCCTGTATATTGCTTTCTTACATCTCCTGTTTTCTTTCCTATATTGCTTGTTGATTGCTTTCTTATATTGCCTGTTTACTTTCTTATATTGCCTGTATATTGCTTTCTTACATCTCCTGTTTTCTTTCCTATATTGCTTGTTGATTGCTTCCTTATATTGCCTGTCATTTTCAGGGAGCCAATAACTGTGGACAGCTAGGATATGGGTGTGTCTGCGAAAAACAGATTCCTTCAGACCAGCCGGTGCCATTTACTCTGGAATCTGATTGGCTGAAAAGTGCCGGAGGCGGTGGAGGATTTTCCTACGTTGTAACTGGTAATCAGGCCACAGTTTTCTGTCTAATATCCATTTGTCTCTGTTACCACCAATGGACGTCGCTTAATGCAGCAAAGCCTGGCATATAATATCGCAGTGTCTAGTTTGAGAATGGAGATGGAGGCAGTCACTGCTGCCTTCAGCTGGCTTGAGAATCAGCTGTGCACGCATGATGTAACTGGCTCACAGAGTATGTTGCGAAAGGTGGAGATAGGCATGCTCCATGCAGAGTGGCAAGCATCACTTCAGCGGTCATGGGTAGTTAACATACTTTGGATATTTTTTCAAGGTCATGCTGGTGTGTTGGGAAACAAGCAGGCAGATAGATTGGCCGGTTCTGCACCACTTGGTGGTGAATTGATGTATGACAAGCTAGATGTTGTGAGGGCACTACTAAATGCTTCACCCAGTACATGTTTATTGGTTACTCCTTTCATTTGCTTCAAATATTTTGGGAAAATAAAAAATGTAGATAAATACATTTTTTGTTAGTTTATTAGGGGTCTGTGTAAAATGTGTTTTTTTTAATTTTTTACGGATCATTTGATGGAATTCTAACGTCGTCATTGCCTTTTTTAAATTTCTTTTTTTTAATGAGTTCCCCAGGTCAAAATGGTTACAGAAATGAACTCTCAAAGAAAAGTTGTTACCCACACTAGAAGAAGACAATCCTCAAACATTTTAAAGAACCCCTTGAGGCCTCTGAGGAGTGTGTGCTACTTGAGAAGAATGCTGAAAACTTCCTAATGGCCTTAGAGATATGGTTCTACAGAAGAAAGCTGAATCATTCCTGTGACAGCAAAAACAAATAATCTGGATGTTTAGGAAAATCCTAAGACATGAAGACAAATTATGACATACAGCAGGATGAGGCAGTTACCATTTTAGACCACATAGTGAGAAGAGAAGAAAAAGTGGAAAGATTTATTGAAAGAGAGATCGAAGATCATGAAAGATAATCCTAAACATTCTTTTGTGCTTTCACAGGAAAGTATCACAGCATGATATGACTGAATCTTTTGCAGATCTCAAGATATGGATTAGCATTATCTCCCCCTCCAGTCGACAAGATATTTGATCATGATGGTGCATATAAAGTTTCAGCCTTTTATATGCTTACTACACACCAAAATATTTTTAGATTGAGATGTACCTTAAAAAAGATTTTGCTTGAATTATACAGCAAGAAATTGTTTTTCCCAGAATCTGGCCAAGTATTTACTTGTGGAAACAACACCAGAGGCCAGTTGGGACATGGTGACTTCAACACCTTGCCAGTATTCTCTAAGTGTCAGTTTTTATCACAAACGAAAATTGTGAAAGTTGCTGCAGGATGGGACTTTATGCTGGCAATCTCAGGTTTGTAACCCATACTGTACTGTTTCCCAGAAAATAAGACTGGGTCTTAAATTAATTTTTGTTGCAAGAAATACACTTTGGCTTATTTTTAAGGGATGTCTCTTTTTTTTTTTTTTTTTTTTGGTTTTTTCAGATACAGAAGTTTATACATTTATTCATGTAAAAAATTTTACATTAATTCAGATCCAGTCATGTCATCATCTTCTGAACCATTGTCATGGGTCTCCAATTAATCCATAATTTGGGCCTGAATTTTTTGAAACTACATTTCCTGTAGCATTGGCCCTAGTCTCTCATATCCAGGAATAAAGCTTTCTGTTAGTGAGTGTTTCTTGTCTGTAACCTGCTGTTGGTGCATTGGTAACACAGTTTTGGGTGATTGTATCGGGTGAATTCCTCACCCAAGTTTCTTATTCAGGCTGACAGCATTCACTGGGAGCTTGTTGTTGGGGTAGGGCTTATTTTAAAATCATCCTGAAAATCATGCTAGGGATTAATTTTTTTTTGGGGGGGGGGGGGGGGGGGGTGGGGAGGGGGGGTGGTAGGTCTTAAATCCAGAGAAACATTGTATCATGTACTTGCAGCGCACATACTAACATATCGGCAAAGATACAAAATGGCTTCACATATACTTTATTATATCACCAATACAAATCTGCATTCAGAGTTTGCACTTATTAACCTTTCTCACACTCAGGTTGTTAATTGGTATTCCATCATTTTGTTATCCATTCTCCCGCTCATCCCCGAAACATCCTTGTGCAACACATTTTCACTATCTAGGTCTTAACATTCTGACGTGCAGTACTTAATTTGGCGTGATCAAGACCCTTTGGGAGCAAGTGAACAATGTGGAGGCACAAACAGATCATTAGATTAGATTTTATACCCCACTAGGACATCACACAAGCGATAAACACCCGATGACACAAAGTGCCACTATGCGAATGAGGATCACCCGTGGAGAGGTCCCGGAAACCATTAGGCCATATTTATGGTCAGGCTAAATTGCGGCCCCTGGCAAGAGCCAGAGTGGGGCTTCAAAATAACAAAAAAGTGCATCTCACAAGGAGATGACCAAGTCAGACAAACATACTTACTGGGGGTGACCAAGGGATTGGGTCGACACTCTATACTCTTCCAAACTGCTACTGGCTTTGGAACTCTTTGCTTGCTGCTGAAGATGAGGTCGAGCACTTATGGGAATGTCCAAAGTGCATTGATGTTAGTTCTTAGCTCAACACTCTAACTAGATATGACACAGTCACTTTGAAAGAAGAATGCAGAAGAAGAATAAATAAATGAGTAATGGAACTTTTCACAAACTTGCTTGCACTGCCTGAGTTTCTTCCCTTGCCATTTATGCCGTGACAGGTCGCAGAGCCTGTCCTATGTTGTGGGCGTGTTATCAGATGGCTTTGTTTAGCATTAGCATGGCATATATAATTTTTTTTTGAAAGGCTATGTTGTCGTGAGTCTCTTTGAGGCAAGTAAAAAGTACTGCAAGGAGAAGCGCCAAAGTATTGAAACTAGAATGTTTTTGTATTTCTACATTTCTTGGTGGTGGCTCCTCCCCCACCCCCTCCAAAAAAGAAACCACTGTCAAGGAATGTAGGAATCCAATAACATGCCAGTTTTGAAACTCGTGAACCATCGGGCAAGTAACCAAAACTAACAATTATTGCCTTTATTATACCACTTTTGCGGTTTAGGCAAGGTAGTCTTTGAGCCTGAGAATTTACGGCCGCATGGCTAGTGCTGTCGCCACAAATGTGCAGGTGAGGATTTTATTTCGGGCAAATAACACAGTGTGGAAATAACCACGCAGGTCAGCAGTAACATGAGGAAAGAGAGAACTGTTAAACCGTTGAAAGTACAGCATAGGACAGGCTTTCCGACCTACCACAGCATGAATGGCAAGGGAAGGAACTCTTTCCTTGCTGGCAAATTAGTGATAAGTACTGAAATAATATTAGCCTGTATGTTTTAGATGCGGGCACACTTCTGTCGTGGGGCTCAAACATGTTTGGTCAGCTTGGCCGTGATGTCCCTGGTGGAGCTGGCTGTGATGCGGCCCCAGTAAGTGTGCATGTTTATGAGTATCTGTGTGTTGACAGATTAGAATCCATGTTTGTGTTGTTAAAAAGTGCCCATGTTTGTGTTGCTAGCTAAGGACATACATTTGTGTTTCCATATGTGTACCCGTGTTTATGTTGCCAAATAATTACCTATGTTTGTGTTAGTGGATGAATACCTGCTTATGTTCCAGTGTTTGGTACCTAATCTTATAGATTATTATAGGATCAGATGATCCTCCATACCATAATGTCAAACTGTCCAGCATCTTTTCTCTCAGTCTCCCTCTGCCTCTCCTTCCCTCTAACTTTCCTACTGTCACGATGTATTCCAGTTTTCTCCTTCTCATCACATTACCAAAAAATTTAGAATCTTATTCTTTCGAGACATCTTTATTACTCTTTTTATCTTTACCTAGCCCAGTTATACAATTATATCTCCTTTGTGAGACCCCCCAGCTAGTCTCAGATGACTGGCTAAATTAAGTGATAGAGCTCATAAATATTCACACACACATCACCCTGCCTATCTGTCCACATCTTGAGTTGAGTTGATTCAAGAACTGACATCACAGCACTCGGGGCATTCCCATAAGTGCTCCTTCCCCATCTGCAGCAGCCTGTGAAGAGTTTCGATACTAATGGTGCCAGTAGCATTCTGATTAAATGTCCGTCTCGCCTTTCCTCTGAACCTCAAGCATCTGCCAGAACCTCTCGTTACTCCCCGATGCATCAATCTCACCAAACTGGTGATCCATCTGCTCCACCGAACTGTACACGCTCTCGCACAAGGCACTAACCACGTCTGCCTTATCATGCATCAGTATTCCACCATGATGTGCTGAGCCAGCCAGTCTGTCCGCCTGTGTCCACATCTTTTCTGCCATACACATATAATCATACGTACAAACATCACATTCATTCACACACACACACACTGCTTTGCTTTCCTCTGGACATCTGGTTGAAGTTGGTTGATTTACCAGTCTATTAGTCCATATATTATGTGCTATCACAACCTGCTTACTATGTAATATGCCTTTCCATAAATTTTAACATCAGATACTGCTCTTACACATCCTGCAGGATTCTGGTCTTGGAGAGGACAAGGAAAGTCCCTCAACCGCAGTCTCTCTGCAAATGATGCAAACCCTTTTCATGGCTCCAGTAACCTGAACATCATCTTATCGTTCACCGGCTGTAAACTCTAACAGAAGATTCTGGTTGTTTGTCCACTTGTGGCCTTTAGTCTCGTTCATGAACATGAATTCCACTTGCACCTAAGTTTTACAGATATGACTGATTTGTATAACATACATAGTGTAATCTTTGACCTGTTAGGGTAATGGGGGTGTATCATTAGAAGCATTAGCAAACAAAACCCTCCATCTCTCTATGTCTTTTACATGATGAACAAGTGTATGATAACTTAGTCCAGTCCATTTCTTGATGTCATTTCAGTTCTTCTTTGCCCTCCTCTTCTTCAACTACCCCCGTGCTCCTTGAAGTAGAATCTTTCAAATCGAATCGTGTCTCACCACGCGCCTGAACCAAGCTAGCTTGTGATATTTCACCACTGCCAAGAAAGGCTCCTGATGTCCTGCAAATTTGTATATTTTGTCTCTGACATATTTGTTACTTTTATGTTCTGAATAACCAATTCATAAAATTTGTCGATACTATTTGCTTTTGAAAGCCTGAATTCTCCTTTCTATTTCTAACTCTAACATCAGTACACAAAAATAGACAATACCAGTGATTTGTTTACTGATATTAATTAACTGTGATGCTGATTTTCCTCTTCGTCATCACTTTCAGCTGGGACATCATGGCTGTTGCCATATCAGTTTACATGATTTGTATGCAGAATGTTGGTTCCTCGCCTCTCAGGCGGATGCACTCTGACTTTGAAGGAACCTGACCAACAGTGCATCAGACTACTACTACTTCTGCATTCCTCTGTAAAAGTGTAGTTGCCACAGCCTAACACATCTGTTTTCAGCAACTTCTAACTGATTCATTTTTACGACATACTTAACAAGTAGTGGGTCTATTATTTTGTCCTGTTATCAAAATCGGGCCTCAGAACCCACATGGGGAATACAAAAGACTGAAGCTCAGTCATCCAGATGATATACCACCCAGCCTGTATGATGCTGCAGATTGTGTGTATATTTGTGTACTCATTAACATTATCTTCAATCTGTTTATCAGGCGCATGTAGGGAGCTCTTATTTGGGACGTCAGGTAGACATCTCGGCAGGATTGAGACATGGCTTATCATTGTCAGGTAAGGAATATATGTAAAATAGAGGAATTTATTAGGTATCCAAATCAGTAAGTTATGTGGTCAGATATGTATCCAAATCAGTAAGTTATGTGGTAAGCCACCTTCACTTGTGGAAAGTTTGATATTTAACCTGGACAGCTGTTTGGTCTTCACTTTGTAATTTCCAGCTGATGTTTTTATGAGTGAAACATGCACAAAAAATTGTGGTGAGAAATGTGTGGTGGTGGCTAGCATGTGTGGTAGTGGCTAGTATGTGTGGTGGTGACTAGTATGTGTGGTAGTGGTTAGCATGTGTGGTGGTGGCTAGTGTGTGTGGCAGTGGTGAGAAATGTGTGGTGGTGGCTAGCATGTGTGGTAGTGGCTAGTATGTGTGGTGGTGACTAGTATGTGTGGTAGTGGTTAGCATGTGTGGTGGTGGCTAGTGTGTGTGGCAGTGGTGAGAAATGTGTGGTGGTGGCTAGCATGTGTGGTGGTGGCTATTATGTATAGCAAAAGTGAGAAATGTGTGGTGGTGGCTAGTATGTGTGGCAGTGGTGAGAAATGTGTGGTGGTGGCTAGCGTGTGTGGTGGTGGCTAGCATGTGTGACGATGCCTATCATGTGTGACACGCAGCACTCCATATCCCATCAGGCAATATCTGCTGTGGGTTTGCCTTAACACTACTGATCAGAATTCTTTTATTTTCAGAGTGCGGAAAGGTTTACAGTTGGGGTCATGGTAAAAGAGGTCAGCTAGGGTTGGACGTCAGTGACAAGACAACACAAGTTCGATCTGATCACCCTCTCACAGGTTTGTGGTTCATGTGGTTTTTATGAGTACGCAATTTGCTGTTCATTGTTGGATTACATAAAGAAAGCAATATACAAACTGCATACAATATCCTGGGTTTTTTCTGCCTATCCTTTTCCTTATTTTGCAGTTTTTCCCCCATCTTTTATTAAGATTTCTTTTTAATTAATTAGTTTCTTTTTTTTTCTCCTTTTTTACCCACTATTACTCTTGCTTTCTCTTACTTTTTTCTCTTACCTTTCTATCCATTTTCTCCCTCTTCCCCATCTTTCTTTCACAGCACAAAAATACAACTTGAACGTGTAATTTTATATTGCTGTTCAATGCTGTTTACATTAAATCCCTACTTTCTTCTTCTGTAGCCAGTTTTGAAAGCTAAAAAATTTGGTCAAAGAAATGAAGTCCTTTCAGGAATTCAGCTTTCAGGGGAATGTTTTAGTGAATGCCCCATAGTTTCTTCTCCACTTTTATCTCCTAAAGCCAGATATAAACTCTGAAGACAAGAAAGAGAAGACACTACAGTGTGTGGTCCTGGAGTCTTGGGATTATTGTAGCAAGTGCCCTAGTACGCTCTTGTAGTAAACTGATATTGTAAACAATACATTATTTTTACGGGTGCTGTCAATTAGGTAGACTGGCTGAGCTTTGAATCTGATGTCTGATGGAAGACTGAAATGTTTGTGCGTGTGTTTGTTTTAGTATCCAGAAGCCATGAGTAGTTAACCCTTAGGCTCGGTATTATGGATATCGCAACCTTTCGGCCTTGATTCCATTGTAAATACCGTAAATCTGGGAGAAATGTGGCTTGTCTGCCTGCCCCCGGACCACAAGAAGTTCGTCACCCGGCCACAACGCAGTCCGGTTTAGCCAACTAAGCCGGGCAAAGCACTTATGAAGATATGTGTTGCGGTGAGAGTGATCCTTTATAATTCAACCCAAACAAAGTAATCTGATGAACGACTAGTTCCATAATGTTGCAACTTTTTTTAGTTTATATTCTTGTGACATTTTGCAGTGCCAGTTTCATGCACAGAGAAGCCAATTCAAGTGTTTGCAGGAATGTTCCATTCTGGTTTACTAACAGGCAAGTCACCCTCCATTTTCTGTAAGCTTTGATTTACCTGGTAGTGTTTGTAACCCTGGGTAATATCGCCAGTTCTACCCAACGAGCATTGGATTGCAAATTGTTCCTTTTCATGATGCTAAAAGGCAAAAGTGGAAATTGATGATGTTAGTTAAGATAACTTTATAGGAATGTAGCCATCAAGGCAGATTTTTGTTTAGGAGTTTCCAATTTGTGCATCCCGGACAGGACTTTTTTTTAAAGCTGGCCAAACAGAACCTTATGGCCGAAGTGTACCAGCATTGCAAACATCATCTATCAACTTATGCTTTGTAATCACTCCTCTTCACAAACCTCTACCATTGATTTTCTGGATCAGTTCTGATAAGGGAAGTACAGAAACTCCCGGAGGCAGAAAACAAACAGCAGACATCTAGACGACCTAATCAACAGACCAAGCAGAAGGCAGGACAGTACTATTTGTTTGACTACCGAACACTGCAGAATGAACTCGCACATGCACACAATAAGGACTGCACAATCCTCCCACTGCTGCTGCCATACCACATTCCTAACATCTGAGAACATACTGCAGAACTGCCGCCTACAACAAAACCTGCGAGAGGGGGAAAAAAGAGCAAAGAGGTATCCAGAATAAACTTTGGGGAACCCTTAGAGACTTGCTGCTGATGTGCCGATTCATGGAGGCAACTTAACATAATCTGGGCAAATGAAACTGATGGCCAAGAAAAAGAATTCTATTGATGGAGTTTCTCTATCCCAATTTGGAAAATCTACTGTCTTTTCTCTGTGTGTGCTTGTTTCATCCCACTTTCTTAGAAAATCTACCATCTTGTCTCTGTGTGTGCCTGTGTTTCATTCCACATTCTTAGAAAACCTACTTACAGAGCATGTTGAGAAAGGTGAAAACAGGCATGCTTCATGCAGAGTGGCAAGCATCACTTCAGAGGTCCCGGGTAGTTAGCATGCTTAAAATATTTTCTCTAGATTATGCCGGTATGTTAGGAAATGAACAGGCATATAGACTGGTCGGTTCTGCACCACTTGGTGGTAAACTAATGTATGACGAGCTGGATGTTGTGAGGGTTCTTTGGAAGTAAGAAGGCGCAGATAGATCATTACAGTCTAAGGAGAATGGCGCTCCGAGGAGTTACCAGGGGATCTGGCTGAGGCTCAACACTCAGAGGAAGGATGAAGCGGATATACAGTCAGACGGTTACTGGTACCATCGGAAACTCTTTGCTTGCTGCTGAAGATGGAGACTGAGCACTTATGAGGGTGTCCCGAGTGCTGTGATGTGGATGCTTAATTCAACATTGAAAAAATCTACCGTATTTTCTCTGTGTATGCCTGTGTTTCGTCTACCTCTTATTTTACTATTACTATTTTACAACTAATAATACTTTCTTTCTTTTTTTTTACCTAGAAGCTGGAAGTGTTCTTATGTGGGGTTGCAACAAATATGGACAATGTGGACAGGACCCTGACATAACTCAAACTGTACCTGCCGCAAGCAAGGTTGCATTTCCGACAGAGGGAGACAAGAGTAGCAGGCACATAGTTTCTGTCACCAGTGGGTGGACACATGTGATCTCTCACACAGGTAGGTGTTATCTTCTTCTTCTTCTTTGTGATCACCTGCTTAAAAGCTTCGGCAAAAAGTTCTGGTTGTTTATCCATTTCTGCACTTGTCTTGTTCCAGACCTTGAGTTTTTTTGTGCACATTTATTTTACAGATCTGGCTTTTTTTTTTTTGCGTATGCAAACTGTTGGTTTCTAACCATTCAGGTGGATGTACTCCAACTTCCCAGGAAGGTACCTTCTCATGTTCACCATTCTGTATGTGTAAATTTTAGACAAATTATTTTCTATTCACACTTCAAGGGTCAAACTTTTCACTCATTTTACCCTTATTGTATGTTGTAACATCAGTGGCAAGACACTTGCCTTCAGACCCTGCAACCCACACAGCAAAATTTTAAACAAAAGTTGGGAAGATAAAACTTTCAGGAGAATATTTTACTGCTAATTTGTTCTTTTTCAAATCTTAGATTCAAGCATTCTGTACAGCTGGGGTCGCGCTGATCTAGGACAGCTGGGTAGAATATGCCAGAAATCATGTGACCATATTCCTGGGGTTGTGATTGGCTTATCTGGTGTGACCAGTCATTCTTGTGGCTCCGAGCATACTCTGGTGCTGACTGGTAAGTTTATTTATTGGAAACACTCTTGACGTCTTTTTATGATCATGTTTGTTCCTTTGGGAAATCTTGCTTTTGTCGCAGTCAGCTGGAAATACTCTACACCGTTTGCCCTTTCACCCTGTGAATGCTAAAACAAAATGGGTCAGGAAACCTAGGAATTTATGAACAAATCCTTTTTAAAAACAAGTATTTTATACAGGTAGCTAAAAAAAAAATTGTTGAAAAATTCATTTATCTATAATTTTTTTCAGAATATGTAAAGGGAGTAATCAGTAAACAAGAACAGAGAGAAGCAATAAATGGAATTTGTCCCTGGGTGTAAAACATGTATTGGGTAACTCATGCTGTGACCCCATGACCGCAATCTCTGAGGCTTGTGGAAAAATGTCACGTCAGTCTGACCTATAAAAGGTTATTGTATTCATAAGGAAACTCCTTTACCTTATATTTAGTTAATATATTCACATCTGGGCCTCTAGGCAGGTGCACATAGAACAAGTGGCATTTAACTACGCTTTTCAAGAACAGGTCACAGCAGAAATGGCAATATATCCGCATTTACGGGGCTGTGGAAATGAATAGATTTAGCCTTCTTGTGGTGATTCTTCATTCAGTTGCCTAGTGTCTATGCTCATTTGCTTTTCTAGGAATCATGCTTTCCATTAATGTTCCTCTTTAACCTATCACCCAAAGAAATCATAGAACCGACACTTCCCATTTGATCCAGTTCACCATAAATGTCACTTAACTAGCTTTTCTATATATGTGTTTATGAGGCACATAGTTAACACTGCTTATTGTGGTTGTTCCTGCACAGCATTTAGGACAGTGGTTCTCAATCGGAGAACACATATTCATTGAAGTGATGAAGTAACAACGAAAATAATTGTATGGCTAGTGTTGGTCACAACAAGAGGAACTGTATTAAAGGGTCGCGGCATTAGGAAGGTTGAGAGCCATTGATTTAGGTCAGGATATGAATTTTTTTTTCACAAACAGAATTTTCTTTTCTTGTAATCAAAAGTTGTAATATTATATTTGGGTTTGTGGGTTACTTTTAAAAGTCGTTTATTTCTGAATTTTTTACAAATGTCCTTCTACAGAAGATGGACAAGTCTACAGCTGGGGCTGGAATGAACACAGTATCTGTGGCACAGACCATGAGGAGAATATTCTGGAACCTCTCAGAGTCTCCATGTTTGTAGACAAACGCATCATTGCTGTTGGATGTGGAGCTGGCCATTCATTTTGCATTGGGGCAGGAGGCAGTTGCGAGGGTGCTGGCTGAAGCATGAGGTGCATGTGGCAGTGCTCTGGGACCAGAGTCCATGTTGATAAAGACCTATCTGCATCTCTTTGTAGCATCCTAGAAACAGGTTTCTATCCAGGAGCCTTGCCAAAGTAGACAGGACAAACATTTCTTTCAAAGTCGGGATGCATCTGCCTGAGATACAAATCCTGGATCAAGATCAATGTCCAGAAGTGGGCAAACAACCCAGACCTTCCTGCTGGTGAATGAGCAGAAAAGGATGAGCGTGTGAGGATGTTGGCTGAAGTTTCCACTATTGGACCTAGCTGGAGATTCACAGAAGAGGCATCATGCTCTAATAGGTAAACTTCTAAGGATGAAAATGTTTGTTCCAATGATGACTTTCCAAAGCATCTGATTCTGAAGTAGGCACTTTTGAGGCTGTTGTATGTGGTTGCCAACCATGGGCTAAGCAACTAGGGTGACAACACAGACAGTGCAGTGTCTTAAAACTAACCAGGGAGGCTCTTCTTCTTTCCGAGCCCTTCATTGCTGCAGAAATCCCCGCCTCCATTCATCTCCCTGGTTGCCTTTTCTTTCCAGTTGGTGACACCAAGTGTTTGTAGGTCTGTCTGGATATTATCTCTCCATCATTTTCTTGGTCTGCAACCATTCATCTACCTCGTGTATACAGTTTTTTTTACTTCTAACACTCTTCAAATATGCCCCAACCATTTCAGTCTATTAGCTTTCATGATGCCAGTGATCAGTGGTGATTTAAACATATTATGAATTTCGTAGCTTCTCACTCTCTATTCACAGCTGTTTGTAACTTTAATGGGTCCAAAGATTCGTTGTAAGACTGTTTTCAAAAACCTATTATAAGGCTTTGTCTCTTTTAGTTGTGCTCCAAGTTTCAGAGCCATATAAAACGACTGGTCTTATCAACATTTTATATATTTTGATCTTGGTGTTGTGAGATGTTGAAGGGCATATTACCAGGAAGGCTCACCCAGATAATAAAGAAGCTAAAAGTCGTAAATATTACGTCTGTGCTGTAAACAGGCACAATACAACTGCTTTAAAGACAAAGCAAAAAGTGGGCAAATGAAGATGTTGCTGCACAGACCAAGGAGGCGGCATATGAAAGACCCGGTTCTGAATGAGAAACTATGAAAATGTAGGAATATGGTTGCTTAAGGCTAACTGGCAAAATAAAAATGAAGCATCTAAGTGTGAAAGACAAATGATCAAGACAAACATTAGTGTTGCTCCAGTCTGGTGCCCTCATGCAGCCAGTTATGCCAGCAGCAAAGGTCCACCTTGTATAGCAGAGCCCACGATGGAGGGAGACTCTCTCACTGCTCCTTGACAAATATGTTGTAAAAGAATGATCTAACGACAACTGCATAACAACGTACTACCTGCCACTTTAGGAGTGAACGCAGAGGGGAACCTTACCAGACGGCAGAGTGAGTAGGAAGCCACAGACAGAAGTCCTGTACAAGATGTTAGGGAATCTACTTGCAAGACGATCTGAGCACTTGGGCACTGCTTTGTTGTTTTACCTTGAGGGTGTTCTGTCTCACAATTATTGTTCTGATAATAGTTCATTCACTTCTTGTTGCTTGGAACACTTTCTGCACATTCCTAATTATTGTTCTTATATTAAAGTTTGTTCAGTTTTAACTTCTTGTTGCTTGGAATGTTTACATACTGTGAGTACCCTATGCCTAAATACAAACAACCACATGAGACCATAACGTCTACACATCTGCCCAATGACATTAATTGTTAGATCTCCATAGCATACAAATAAACCAGATCTGTGAAACAGATGTGCACACAAAACTCAAGGTTCTGCAACAAGGCTAAATTTCCAGAAGTGGACGAACAACCTGAACTTTCGGCTGAAGGTAACGCAAATAAGAAAAAATAGACACTTGGAAAACTACAATGTTAATTGCTAGCATGTCCGAGGGAACTAAACAAATCTCATGAATTCAAAGGTGAGAAAAAAAAAAACACTGGTGTTGGATAAGACAAAATCTAAGTTCTTCTTTTCTTTTTCTTTTTCCTTCCACGTATGCCGCTAAGCGTTGTGGGGAGATGCAAGTTCCTGTCATAAGCAAGGCGGGCAGCATCTGATGTTCTGAGGCCATGCTTTTGGCAGGTTTCGGAGACCCCGTCAATCCACCGTTTCCTTGGTCTTCCTCTTGCCTTATATCCTGAGCTTCTTTGGTTGAAAATTTGTGATGTTATTTGATCATTTTTCATCCTGGTTAGATGTCCAAACCATTTCATTCTTTGATGTTCTATGTAGTCTAAACATGGCGTAGTTTTGACAGTGTTTCTAATGTCTATATTCTTTATCCTGTCTAGTCTGGTCTTATTCGCTGCTTTTCTTAGACATTTCATTTCACAGGCTTCTATTTTTCTTTCATGGGTCTTGTTGATTGTCCATGTTTGGCACTGGTAGCAGAGTGTTGGAATGAAGATGGTGTTTATCAATTGTCTTTTGGGTCTTCATGGTTATATCTGGATGTTTAAGCAGAGGTGATAGTTGGTATGTGACAGCATTTGCTTTCTGTATTCTTGTTTCTATCTCTCTGTCCATTCTTCCATCCTCTGTAAATATACTGCCCAAGTATTTGAACTCTTTGGTTTGCTTGATTTTGGCACTTCCAACATTTATATTCAGTGGCCTGTGTGTTCTGCTGATCTTCATAACTTCTGTTTTTTCTGTACTGATTCTCATATTATGTTGTAAACAGCTGTTGTTGAGAGTAGTCAGATGTTCCTGTAGATCATATTCATTTTGATACAGTATGCTTTGATCATCAGCAAAAAGTAGTTCGTTTATAGCATACAGTCTGGGTTTGCTTCTACAGTGATCTTATCCATGTATGTTATGAAAAGTAATGGTGACAGTACACATCCTTGTCTGACACCAGTTGTGACTTTGAACCATTCAGAAAGACCACTAGATGTTCTTACTGCACTTTCACTTTTTTCATAGAGGGCTCTGATGTTGTCTAATAATTGACCCTGCACTTCGTAATCGTCAAGAATTCTCCACAGCAACATCTCTGTCTACACGGTTCGAATGCCTTTCTCTTGATCTACAAAACACAACGTTCAGCTCTTTATCGTATTCGAGTGTCTTTTCACAGACTTGTCTTAGTGCAAATATGGCATCAGTGCAACCTCGCCCTTTCCTGAAACCGAATTGTGCTTTACTCAGTAGAGGTTCAACCTTTGCTCTTATCCTACCTTCTAAGATCTTTGCATACATTTTCCCCACATGACTTAGTAAAGATATTCCTCTATAAGTTCCACATTCTCTCTTGTTTCCTTTTTTCTTCCAGATAGGTACTACAAACTGATCTTTGCCAATCCACTGGTACCTTTCTCTCTGCCCATGCTCTATTGAAAATTCTCTCCAGCCAGGTGATCATAGTGTCCCCTCCAGCCTGGATGACTTCTGTTGTTATTCCGTCAATACCAGCTGCTTTGTGTCTTTACTTGTTTTGATAACTTTCTCTACTTCATCCCGCAGGATATGTGGTTCTAGATGATCTGGAGCCCTTGAATGGAATTCTGCTGTTTCATGTACTCCCGACGGGTTCAAAAGTTCTTTAAAATATTCCTCCCATCTTTTTTTAATTTCTTTTTGGCTGAATAATGGTTTTCCATTTTTATCGTTTATGACTGATGTTGGATTGAAGCTTTCTTCTCTTAATCGCATCGCTTTCACACTCTTATAAAAGTCTCTTGGTGATTCTGTACATAGCTGTGTTAGGTGTTCACCATACTTTTTCCATGATTCCTCTTTGGATTTCTTTATTGTTCTCTTGGTGTCTCTTCGAGTTAGTCTGTACCTAATGTAATCCTTTTCGTCTTTTGTTTTTAACCATATTTGAAACATCTTTTTATTTGACACTGCTTCTTTGACTTCTTCATTCCACCAAGCGGTACCCTTTTTCTTGCCTTTGCCCGTCTTTCTGGTACCACACTTGTCTTTTAATATCTTCGTGATGGTTGATTTATAATAATCCCATTCTTCTTCAATTCTTACTGGTTCCTTGGCAATATCTGCAAAAGCCTTTGTTATTTCTAGTTCAAATTCATGTTTGATATTCTCTTCCTCTAATTTCTTAGTGTTGATGATTTCTTCACGTTTCTGTTTATGTAGACTGTTTCTACTTGAGTTGCATATGTTCATAACTACTGGGCGATGGTCTGAATCCAGTCCCGCATTTGGGACAGCTTTTGAGTCAAAATCTAAGTCTTGGCTTGAAAAGGCCCTGTACTGGAACCTGGCATGGCCAATGATATGCAGACCTCCACACATAAATGGACTGAGCTGCACGCAGTGGCCAAGGATACGATCAATTGGTTAATGGGTCTGTGCCCTGCTGTGGGATAGGTCAACAAAGGATGCATTTTATACTGGTCTTATTATTCTATCATACTTGTATGGACCAATAGGCTGGCTGGATGATATGATTAACATCACACTAGCTGCCTTTACTGATCACCAGGTACAGTTTTAGGCTGGGTCTAATCGGGAAGCCAGGATCAATTTGGGAAACAAAATCTGCTTCGTTGTGAATTCAAACCTACAACCTTCAGGCCAGAATACTGGGATAAATGGCAGAGGAAAAGGAAAATCAGACAAGCATGACAAAGTGCTTTTAACCTTACAATCTCATGTCTGAACCAGTGAGGGAAAATACACAACATAATCATTGCAACTTGCCCTGTAATGTTTGATAGGAAGAGGAGAAACATAATTCGCTATGTCATTTCTAAAAGGCTTTTTTGATTTTTTCAATGGACTAGTCAGTGATTAAATGTAACATATTTTTATCGATTTCCTTCTGAGCCGGTCATTTATTCAATATAACAGTTTTACCGATATCTTTCTGGGCTACGTGGTGATGTTTACTGTAATATTTGACCAATTTCCTTCTCTGTTAAGTGGTAATTTCTTTCTAGGCCTGATTAGAACAACATAATGTAAGTGTCAGCTTTACAGCTCTAATTACAAAAGACAAACAAAGAATGTTGCAGTGATTAGCCTTTATCAGCAGAATATGACGAGAAGCAAAATCAAAATGTTCACTGTAACGAAGTTTTACTGACCGCTTTCTCGGAACACAAAATATATCTCCTGCTGTAATCAATAATGGTTAATATAACAACTGAGTGGCACCGCATGAGACGTAATGTTTTCCTTTTTTTTTTTAATAATGCTAAGTAAAATTTTGTGGCCACTTTTCTCATGTAGCTGGGCTAGAGGTTTTTTTTTTTTTGGTTTGCTGATAAAAAAAATTTCTAGCTGCAATATGCCACCTGTGCTCCTGAAAATGTACATTACCAATGTTGACTGATTTACTGTATTATTTCCAACTTCATAAACACAGCTCATGATGACTAGACCAGCCATGCGGCCCTAAATCCTTAGCAGCCCCCCCCCCCCCTTCCCCCCCCCCCCCCCCCCCCCCCCCCCCCACAAGTGCTACAGACAGCCAGTGTTTTATACAAATCATCGCTTCTCCCTGCATCAGAGGTTATTTATTTAATATCAAATGTGAGCCACTCTTGTCTACCAGGCTTGTGTTGCCAGCACTCTGCTTTATGGCAGTGAAACTTGGTCAACTTATTCGCACCAGAAAAATAGCTTTCACATGTAATGTCTAAGAATACTTGGCATTTGGTGGCAAGACAAGATCACAAACACTGAGGTATTGGACAGAGCAGGTGATGCTTAGAAGATGCAGAGCTCGGCCTCTCCTACAAAATAAAGACGTGTTCAGCCGGGACATGAAAGAAACATGTATTAAGGTAGATTCGTAGGAATAAAATGCCAGAGACAGCATTGCGAGGAGGGGAATAAAGAAAACTAATTATTGCAGAGCGCTTGAGAAGACGGTCCTGAGATCCCATGCTCTAACTGTTGTAGACTTTTCTTCATACTGGCAAGTGTTGCTTGCTTGGAATGACAGAAAGGTGCCAAAAACAACAGAATTGTGAACCTCAATATATTTTTTAATACTTATTGTTGGTAAAATGTCACATGCTCAACTCAAGAATTCCCTCATACAATTATTGTTACTTTAGTAAGTCAATTATTGCTAGGGGGTCTTGTTAGTTACAATCATCATCGCCTGCGACACCCGTGCCACCCCATAGCACAGTATAATGCTACTAATTTTTGTAAAAATGGAGAGATGCCAATTTAGTCAATCATTGTTACTCCACTTCTATCTTGGGATGCACAAGTATTAACCTTGCGCTGTTCTGTGAGTGCATTCCCACTGACCTCAGGCATCAGACTGGTAATTTATCTCGAAGAAACTGGTAGGTATCTGTGCTAGCAACCCCAAACATACAAAGATAAGATTCTGGTAATTAAAAAAAAAAAAAACATATAACTGCATAAACAGCTCCCCCCCCCCCATAATGTTGATTTTCACGCTGCAATTGCCAGTTAACATAAAGAATTACATACTGGACTGGAGTCTTTCCGTCATACTGAATTGATTGCACGGAATAGAGGAATATACTGCAAGCCTTATGCGACATAAAATGGCCCAATAGGACAATTGCAATGATGATAACAAATTACTACAATGGGACAATGTTAACATCTTTAATCACTGTTTTCACGCTGAACTATCCTAATATCCTCAAGGATTACTACAATGAGACAATGTGAACATCTTCAATTACTGTTTTCATGCTGAAATATCCTAACATCCTCAAGGATAACTACGTTAACATCTTCGATTTCTGTTTTCACACTAAAATATCTTTACATAATCAAGGATTACTATGAGACAATGTTACCAACTTCAATAACTATTTTCATGCTGAAATATCCTAACATCCTCAAGGATTACTATGAGATGAAGTTAACATCCTAAATGACTTCTGTAACTATAAAATGTAATCCTCAATAACTGCTAGAAACAGACAATGTTAACATCCTCAATTACGGTTGTAATTATATAAAGTTAGCATCCTGTATCTTAACTGTAAATTAATTAAACAAAATGGATACTTGGCTCTGGATATAAATTTAACAGCATCCGTAAACAATTTTGACAAAATAACCAACAAGCATAGAAAACAAGGTATGTACAGGAAGTTAAGCATCAGAGCAGTTTTTTCCTCTCATCAACTTTGGCTAACAGCTCGTCAGCATCCTCTTCCGTCTTGACCCGAATCAACATTGGTATCGGAGTGCCCTCTGCCTCTCCGGTGTTGATGGCCGGGTTTGGGACGCAGACAACCAGCACGTTGTTCTTTCCCTGGCGGGACACCGGCATCGTCGATGACAGCATGACGTTCAAGAGTATATTTCCTGAGGAAAATAAACAAAACCCAATTTAGTTAGTTATGTAGGTTATCATGATTGCACTCCGGACACATCCATCCGTGCTCAGATCCTCCCCTCAGTTTGAACCACAGTGTCTGGTGGCTAATAGTTCATTTGTTTGTCTATCACAAGTGATGACGACCACTCTTTTTTCATCCGTAATGAAAATTCAGTTAAATGTTTGTGAGTCCGGACGTGACTTATAAGTCGTAGACGTACCTGGAAGAGTCTAGGACAATGAAGGCAGGGCACAGTGGCAAACAGTACCAGTCCTATGTTGACTAAAAAGACTTCTGATGTGCGTGGGTCTTGTTTTTTGCTTTGCCGATCTTAACACCCAAGTCTATCAATCTGGCGAGTGATGTGGATTTACTGCCCCCAGTGTTTGGCAGTAAGGAATATCTAAAGCTACTTCATGTCACTGCTGACACATAAGATATTCACAACTGATCTCCACTGTTGCCAGCCTGCTGCATTTCTGCCTCTGGCATATCATGTCAGTTTACCCACTATTTCCTATCGGACGCCACATACATTCTGAAGGGAGTCTGGACCCATGTGCACATACCCCACAGCAGAGATCAGATCCCATTTTGGTGAAAATCTAACACTGCAAGTGAGCGGGGTGAAAAGTGTTCCGCCATTTTGGCTGTTTACACCGGCATCAATGGAAATGAAAGAGCTGATGGGCTGGCTGGTTCCAATATCACTACAGACACCAGTAAACCAATGGATCATGCTGATATTATTAATGCCCTCCAAGAAATGAGAAGGGTGGGGAACTTTGGGGGAAGTGAATCCACATCACTCGCCAGAACGATAGACTTGGGAGTTAAGATCAGCATAGTAACAAAAAATGAGACTCACACCAGGCACATCACAGGACTTGTTAATCAACACAGATCTGGTAGTATTAGCCACCAGACGTTGAGTTCACACTGAGGGGAGGATCTGAGCACCTATGGACATGTCCGGAGTGCAATGATAATAACCCAACTAATAAACTCCATTTCCCTCTCAACTGTTCTAGGTTCACTTAGGTCATCCAAGTCGCCTTTTCCCATCTGCCATCCACCAGAGATCTGTCCTTGCCAAAGTGGCACGATGCAAACATGTCCAGACTATCTCTTCCTCCTTTGATGTTTGCTAGTAATGAACATTGTGTTTCCCCATGTGGGTTCCTGGGCTCTATCTTGGGGAACAAAGAATAGCCCCCACTACCACCAATAGCTTGTCACTAAGGGCTACTAATCAGTGGTGTTTCCTTTAAAGTTGGAGTGCATATGCCTGAGAGACAAGGAACCAACAGTCTGTATACAATAGGCTAGATAATGTGAAACAGACGTGGACACAAAACTCAAGTTACGGATCAAGACCAAACAACCATAACTTTTTGACGGAGAATACCAAGAAGAACATTGTGTTCTTTTCTGGAAGGAACGTATCTGGAACCTTTTGATGCAGTCTATTTACCAAACATGAAGCATCCTGCTCAGAGGAAAAGTTCTCAATGATACGGTTAGAATTTTTGGGAAGTGTGGTACATGGGCTTTTGAGCTGAAATGCTACAGAAAGATTCTCAGAATATCTTGGACAAAGAAGAGGAGAAATACTGACATCTTAAAAGATCTGAACATCAAAGAAGATTGGCTAATAAACAGCATCCTGTCTCGGAAGCAGAAATGTTTTGGTCATATCAAGCGCCACGACGGATTGGAAAAAATTATAGCAGAAGGCATAGTACCAGGAAGGAGGGGCAGGGGCTGACCAACACGAAGATGGGCACAGGATATAAGTGACTCCTTGAGTATGAAAGTACATGAGGCGGGGGAACTGGCGAGAGACCGAGTTTCTTTCAGGCAGACCGTGATGAGAGTGACGTTCTGCAAAGGACCTGCTACATGATGGTGATGTGGTACATTAAGAATCAACATCACTGTACTAAAGTTGATGTCTACACATCTTCCTAATTACACTACCGGCTGTAAACTCCGGCGGAAAGTCCTGGTTGTTCTTTCACTTCTGGACTTTGGGCGTATTCAAAAACTGTTGACTTGTGCATGCACACTGGCTTTACAGATCTGACTTGCCCGGCTCTCTAGCGTAGTTGGCTAAACCGGATTAAGCGGTGACCGGGCGACGAACGCCTTGTGGTCCGGGTTCACTAACGGGGGTAGGCAGAAAAGCCACATTTCTCCAAGATTTACGGTATTTACAATGGAATCAAGGCCGAAAGGTTGCGATATCCATAATACTGAACCTAAGGGTTAACAACTTATGGCTTCTGGATACTAAAACAAACAGATCTGACTTATTTGTATGCAGACTGTTGGTCCCTATTCTCTCAGGCAAATATAACCCAATTTTGAAGGAAACACCTCTAATTAGTCAGCTTGTACGACATGTTTTTTAGCGGGCAAAAGATCTATTCTTTTTCTTTCCCGGCTAAATGAGGCCTCAGAACACCCGGGGAGCTTCACTTACCTAAGTTGGTGTCTGCCCGGATCAACAGCTGGGTCTTATTGTCTGCCACTGGCTTCAGGTGAAGGTTGCCCACACCTCTGTCCACCCACTGACCATCTTTCTGGTAGTACAGCTTGCATCTGGTTTTATGGGAAAAACAAACAATCAGTGAAACTGTTGCAACATAAGGCACACATATCTGAATAAGAGTCTCATTAGATACACAGAGGTGTCTAGACACCAAATAAATCACACAGTCTCTGCAGTGTATATAGAGAAGAACAAAAACAGTCAAATACAAAGGATCTGAAGACACTGGCAATGGAAAGTAAGTTGTTGAAAGAAATAAAAAGAGAAATTTGATTTAGTTTTAGGTCATAATAAAAAATTTTAAAAAAACATAATAACTGTAGCAAAGGGACAACTGATAGCAGGCTAGCGACATCCTCAAGGATTATCAAAATGAGACAATGTTAACATTTTCTATTAGTTTTCACACTGAAATATCCTAACATCCTCAAGGATCACTATAATGAGACAATGTTAACATTTTCAATTACTGTTTTCACACTGAAATATCCCAACATCCTCAAGGATTACTATAATGAGACAATGTTAACATTTTCAATTACTGTTTTCACACTGAAATATCCTAACATCCTCAAGGATTACTATAATGAGACAATGTTAACATTTTCAATTACTGTTTTCACACTGAAATATCCTTACATCCTCAAGGATTACTTTGAGAAAATGTTAACATTTTCAATTACTGTTTTCACACTGAAATATCCTTACATCCTCAAGGATTACTTTGAGACAATGTTAACATTTTCAATTACTGTTTTCACACTGAAATATCCTAACATCCTCAAGGATTACTATAATGAGACAATGTTAACATTTTCAATTACTGTTTTCACACTGAAATATCCTAACATCCTCAAGGATTACTATAATGAGACAATGTTAACATTTTCAATTACTGTTTTCACACTGAAATATCCTAACATCCTCAGGGATTACTTTAATGAGACAATGTTACCAACTTCAACAATACACGTGGATGGATAATATTCAGAGACAAACAGCAGTCTGGCAGAGTGTAAGTCCCTGGTGAAAGACAAATTAGATTATGCTGGAAAGGCCATTTCAGCCAAACTTAATTGTGGAGGCGGCACAAGACTGACTGCGACACTCCATGAACAGTTGTTTCATATCTCTTAGCTAAGCACCACCTTTTAGTTTCACAATCCATGACTATCGGGGTCCCAAGTCTGCGGTGGATGGTTTTTATAAAGTAACTGTTCTCAGGGTATTTTGACAGCGGTAGAGGAGTGGCACTATGGCCTTACTGCACAATATTCCCAAAGTTTACATCTTTCATCTAAGCACCCTTTTCTGGTAGTTTTTTTTTTTTTAAAAAAAGGTAATTTTCTAATCCTTGATTACCAGGGTCTAATTTCTGATGTGGGTGGTTTTTATTGAGTAAACATTCTTGTGGCATTTAGACAGTGGTATGAGCTAACATTTCTAATATTCCAAAGACAGCAGTGGGTGCACGGTAGCCAGTCTTTATTGTGGAGATGACACACAATTTTATTTTATTTAAATACGGGTGCTTTAGGCTCCTTGTTTCCTGTTGCGAAAGGTTCTCCTTGTGTGGGTTCCGCACCCACATTGTGGTGGGGGAAAAGGAATAGACCCACTGCCCACTAACAACCTTGTAGTCAGAGTCTAGTAATTAGGGATGTTTCCTTTGAAGGTATGAGTGCACCTGCTGGGAGGCCAGGAACCAACAGTCTGCATACAAACAGTAGCATAAAAAAGCTCATTTACTTACTACAGTGCAGATCACTTTCAACGATCTCGGATGTGGCAAAATTTTAGTGTGAAAAACAATTTTTCCTCTGCAGTTTTTCTTGCTTGAATTTTGATCTGGATAAGAGGAATTTCTTATAAAAGAACCATTTCTTGTTCCAGCAGTGAGCTCTCCTTATCAGGTCTGCACTGTACTTTTACTCAAATCAATTCTGTTAGCCGTGACTATGTTCTGGGAAAGCTGACCCTTTCCATTATCTTGTTTCATGATGCAGTAAAAGGACAAAGAAAGAAATACTCTACCTTTTAGAGTAGAGAGCATCTGATTCTACTATTTCTTTGACTTCTGGCTTGGGTGGTTCATACTCCTCATCATCTGTGAAATAACAGCACACATGTGATTAGGGACCCGCAGCCTTGCTTGTGATAACACTTTTAACTAACAGATGGTTACGAATTCTTTGGAAGACTTGAGTTTAATTCCTTAAGTCTGATGTAATGATGTTCTGGTCATTTGGTAACCCTGAGTTTAATTCCTTAAAACTGATGTAATGATGTTGTCATTTGGTTACCCTGAGTTTTAATTCCTTAAGACTGATGATGTTGTTATTTGGTAACCCCGAGTTTAATTCCTTAAGACTGATGTAATGATGTTGTGGTCATTTGGTAACCCTGAGTTTAATTCCTTAAGACTGATGATGTTGTTATTTGGTAACCCCGAGTTTAATTCCTTTAGACAGATGTAATGATGTTCTGGTCATTTGGTAACCCCGAGTTTAATTCCTTAAGACAGATGTAATGATGATGTGGTCATTTGGTTACCATGAGTTTAATTCCTTAACTCTTTAAGGCCCAAACAACGGTGTGAGCGTAGTTTGAGAAGTTCCGTTCTGCCCAAACAACAGTATCATCGTCAATCGTGTGTCCCTTACATTTTGCTTCGCACGCGCGTTCGTACTAGTTTCTAATGTTTGGAGGTAGGAATAAACTATTCAGGGAAAGTCACTCTGCCGAAATCCTTTTAGTTTCATTTCTTGGACTAAACCACACGTGGATAATTTGAGAGAAAAAAACATGGAAATTTTTTTAACAGTTCATTTTCTAAGTTCGTTTTTGAGTGCCATGAATACCAATGTTCTAACCATAAGAACAGGTCGCAGAATGCGTCTTTCTGCGGCCGAAGTTCTGAAATTGTTTCAGTCAGATGTTTTTAATTGTGATAATGATAATAAAAATTTTGATTTTTCGAAAAGTGATTGGGACGGTGAATTTTCACCAGTGAAGCTGAGCGATCAGCTGTTGGGAATCTAGCGATTCTGATGAGTTTATTACACAGACAATGTCCCATACTACCGTATTTATGGTGTAAGAGAAGGAAAGTGCTCTAAACAAAGAGACAGTACTATACTATGGCTAAGCTACAGTCTGTAAATAACTGTACAAAGTGAATAGTAAATAGTGTGTGTGTAATGGCTCATTTTTCTGCCATTTTTTTTAATCTGAAATTTTGCTTAGCATTCAGTGAGAACTAAGAGCCCCTGAGTGATAAACTAACCCAGAAAGTTATCATAATTTTAGAATATGTTAGGAAATTGAACAAACTTTGAAGTTGTGTTCTCAAAATTGGATATTTACTGCTATTGTGGCTGCAAAACCATGGTAAGTGAAGAATTTTTTTGTGAAATGTTGTCCTTGTGAAATTAACACCTGCTGAATTATTCTTTTCCACCAACTATAACAAAATTAAACACTTATCATCAGATTCAGAATGTACATTCATTTCTCTTTAAAAAAATATATACTTTTATAGGGATTAGAAGTATATTACAATCTCTACAGCCTTTCTTGTACACCCACCCCTCTGCCATTTTTGTAAAGTTAAATTAATGTGGGCCAAGTCTGTCAAAATTCATGGGCCTGAAAGAGTTAAGACTGATGTAATGATGTTCTGGTCATTTGGTAACCCTGAGTTTAATTCCTTAAGACTGATGTAATGATGTTGTGGTTATTTGGTTACTCTGAGTTTAATTCCTTAAGACTGATGTAATGATGTTGTGGTTATTTGGTTACTCTGAGTTTAATTCCTTAAGACTGATGTAATGATGTGGTCATTTGGTAACCCTGAGTTTAATTCCATAAGACTGAAGTAATGATGTTCTGGTCATTTGAGAACTCCCCAGATGATGTGAGGGCATTTTGGGAGTGAAAGAACAGTGCAGAGGCACAGACAGATCATTATGATCTGAGGAGAATGGCATTGCGAGGAGTTACCAAAGAACCTGGCTGACGATCAACACTCAAGGGAAAGGCGAGACAGACATACAATCAGACAGTAACTGGTACCGTTGGAATTGGAACTCTTTGCTTGCTGCTGAAGATAGGAACGGAGCACTTACAGGAGTGTCCTGAGTGCTATGATGCTAATTCTTAATTCATCATTAATTTCCATGGGGAAAAGTATGCTTAGCAGTAAAGTATGCTTTCATCAAGCCATTCCACTGTTCGTAAACCCTCTACAATCCATCTCTCATTGTTTCTAATTCTCTTCTCCACTGTTGCAGTTGCAGACCAAAGATGCGGACAGCAAGACCAACAATGCCTATCCACAATGGACTTTATAAAAAAAAAAAGCTACCGCTGTGTTCATTTTGTTTAAATTATATTCGTGTCAATTGCGCTTCTTTAGCGAACTATCCACCAACCTTTTTCACGAGTCTCTTGTGAGCTCTCCCCACCAGTCGAGCCTTGTGATGTGGTAGCCTTGCCAAAAGAGAACAAGCCCTGGGAGGAGTTAGCAGAACCGAAGGAAGACAAGGAAGGCTTCCCCAAGAGAGAAGAGGATTCTGATCCTTTCTGGCTGAAACTGAATCCCGTTACTGAGGTGCTGTTTGGCGCAGTGAACTTGACAGCATTCCCTGGTTTAGATATATTTGAAATATTCTTTTTATATAAAACATTACAGAGCCATAAAATATTACGCATAAACTACAAATATTCAGTGACTGATGCATACATTGAATGAACAAACAAACCAATGAACAAACATTATTTTCAAAGGGTTGAGAATTGGGCACACAGGCCCATATGACATTCTGCTTCTTTGACCTCATTCCTTTCATAAATCATGTAATATATAATAATAAAATAGTAATAATAATTATATTAATAATAACAATAATAGTAATACCTGTAAAACTGCAACAACAACATCTAAGTTTTAGTAAAATTGCCGAAAGCTGCTCTAATTATGCCTACATTTCTTAACAATAATAAGGATAAAAACTAATAATCCAGGTGGAAAAAAAAGAGAGAGAGAAAGAGCGAGAAAAAAAGAGAGAAAGAGAGAAAACTGAGGTTACCTGTGCTACCTGTAGATGTTGCAAAGGAGAATCCTCCAAGGGCTGGTGTTGTAGCTGATGTCTGTCCAAACGTGAACAGTTTGCCTGAAGACGCTGCAGCCGATTTCTCTTTGTCATCATCAGGTTTTGATGCAGTTGTTGAATGTGCAAAGCTTGTTACTTTGGTAGAAAGACCTGCTGTCAGAGCAGTACCTTGACTATCTTCTCCGTCGCCTTTAGCTAAAGAGGTGTCAGACGCAGGCGACTTTTCTCCTTGGATCATCTGTAAGTACTTCTCATAGTCTTTGAAAATGGGTGTCAGAATAATGAATGGATTACTTTCCACGTGCTGTTTGATCCAGGCCAGAACGCTTTCATTCAGAGATCTCAGTGAACTGAGATAAGTTGAAGATTCTTTGCTGTCCCCTGAACCTTTTGACTTCTGATTTTCTCCGCCATTCACAGATGAGGTGCCTCCAAAGATGCCCGCCTTGCTCGGAGCTGAAGCTGAATCCAGTTTCTTAAAACCAGAAAATGCATCTGTGGTAGGTGCAGGTGCTTTCAAGCCAAAACCTCCAAACCCACTAAAGGCAGCCTTAGAACCCTGTCAACAGAAAGAATGAAAATCTTCGGTTGAAATGTGTGAAGATGATGTACTTGATTGAATGAGAACTGAGGTAGTGAGAAGACACCTGCATAGTTAATTAAATACATTAACTTTAGTGATTAGTGAGGATTCTTTTTCTTCGCTTTCACCGGCTGTAAACTGATGGAAAGTTCTAGTGGTTTGTCCACTCTGGGCTTTAGTCTTTTCCCAGAACTTGACCTTTTGAAGACGCAGCCTTGTGTTGGAGGTTCAGCGCCAAGAAGATGGAGCCTTCAGCAGGGGATTCTTTTAATTTACACATACAAAAATTACACACACAAAAAGCTTTTAACTAACAGATAAAAAAACTATATATATATTCATGTAGGAAATTAAATGAACATATTCACAGAATATTTATGAATCATACTGACATCTCAACATTTGTTCAAATTAGCTAATAAATTTGCATTTTTTTTATAGCTTAGGATAAACATGACTAAACTGAACATTTAGCACACTTTTTTTTATGAATGAAGACTATGTAAGTCCTAACACTTTTTTGGGGAAGCAATGCCCATGTAGGCCCTCCAGGCACCTCTGGTACATGGTTCTACTCCTTTTCCTGCCATATTTTGGTTGCTATGACGCCAACAGTCTTTTTCACCAATATTGGGCAGGTAGCAGTCAAAAACAAAACTGATGTAAAATTACAGAACACATCAAACTTTCAGGAAAGCCATCACTGAACAGCCCACAAGTGCAAGAAATGCAAAAAGAAAAATCTGATTGGCTGGTACAAAAACCTGCCAGCCAATCTCAAGTTGTGTATTATCAGGCCGACGGATTGGCCTATTCGTTTTTTGTGTGGCTATTTTGTTGTTTGGCCGCTTAATCAGCCGAGTCGTCTCCAAATGGTTAAGTGTTGCGTTGCTCATCCATTTTACATACCTGATTTATTTGTATGCAGACGGCTGGTTCCCTACCTCTCAGGCAGATGCACTTCGACTTTGAAGGAAGCCCCAATCGCTCTTACGACATGCTTGCTGGGAAGGCAGTGGGTCTTTTCATGTTTTCCGCACAATAGGGCCCCGGCACCCACATGGGGGAGGAGGGAGGGGGGGGGGGGGGCAGTTACTTGATTAACACATTTTACTTTAATGATTAGCAGATCTATAGGTGCTTTGATCTCCTCCTCAATAGCTCCACAAGTGCAAAACAGGTGATCAACCAATTCCTATAAAATAAGTGTCAAGGTAATTATCTGATTTAAGCAACTACTTCCAGCCTGAAAATCGGCTTGTTCCTCTCATGATTCTGCCAATTAACCCTTTAATTCCACTGATAATTATTTTATTTTACACATCATCAACAGAAGAAGTAGTTACAAACAGATCAGCAGTTGCACAAGCGATCAATTTTAATCACACAAGACACCACCACCAATTCTCTGGCAAGAGGCCACGTGCCATTTTCTGAATTTACAGTTCAGAACATCATGTTGGTCAGTCGAAAAGCCCTCCAAGTGAAATCCGCAGCTCACAGTGCCAAGCCATTCACTCAGCTTAGCAGCTGGGCTACAAAACTATATAATCTCAGTCTACAAATGGAGGAAATGCAACGGCCACCGTCTGTGGGAAGTAAAAAATGTGCCACAACTAAAACAGTGGTCACGCCTATTATCTATTTTATCTGGACCCTGATTGGTCTATAAAAATATGTGTTTAGCATATGCCTGATGAAGGAATGGTGTGAAAATGGTCTTTAACCTACTTTTAGTTTATCGTTCTGTAAATCCTTGAACACAGCACATCTAGATTTAGTAACAACCAAAAATCATTGTTTGAAAGGGTGAAGTGTTTTACCTACAGAGTTTTCGCGGGCTACTCTACGCTAGGCCTTCTTGATCGCTCTCTGTTCTATTACACCTTTGGGAGCTTGGTTGAATAGTAAAGCCTGGACTATTATATTAATTTTAGTTTATCCTTTTGTAGGTCGTTTTACACAGCTCATCTAGACTTAGTAACAAACAAAAATCATTGCCTGAAAGGGTGAAGTGTTTTACTTACAGAGTTGTCGCCGGCTACTCTACGCTTTGCCTTCTTGATCGCTCTCTGCTCTATTACATCTTTAGGAGCTTGAATGAATAGTCCAGCCTGAGGAGAAGGAGGTACATTCTGTTGCATTCAGACAGCAAACATGCCAATAAAATGTCCTCTGTTTAAACAGTCAGAATACCAGCTTCATTCTTTTCTGCTGACCCAATAGAACACAAGCCCTCATCTTTTTCATCTCATTCTCAAGCTCTTTTTCATGCGCTTTTTCTTCTTGCTATTATCCATTAAACCCTGTGGGTTCCGGTACAAAAACATTCTAGTAATATCTTTTTACCATATGTCTGATCTTCTCCTCACCTCTTGATTCGCTGGTATTTGTTCATTCTCTATCTGTTCTCAAACCGTGAGAATGCTGGTAAACTGTCTGTTAGATTCAAGCAAGGAAAAGTCAGTACATATAATATTCTGTTGTAAGTTAGTATTAGTCTTCTGCTGTAGTGGATCGTATGTCTAAGTGAAAACCTGCAGACACGTTAAACAAACAAAACATAATCAGGCCAAATTGGCAGCAGCCTAAATTTCCTAATTAGATTACTCCAATAAAAAGGAATATTCAAAGAATATGTCTTTTATTTCTTCTTTTCCCAATTATTGTTTCAAACATTTATCTTGTGCTTGTTTACAGTATAGCTGAAATATTTGTAACCTTTGACCAGCACAGTCAACATCTTGCAGCAATTATCTAAATTACTCTTCCTTGTTAGCTTAGTAGGTCAATGCACAGCTTTGTTGTGTCATCATCCATGTATGAGTCTGAAGTACACACAGTAGGATCACTACTGCGGTTAGTATTATCTGGTGTACACACTTAAGGATCACTACTGGGGTTAATGTTATCGGCCATCCTCCGAATAACGGTCCTAAATTATTGAGGCGGAAAATATACCCTAACAGGGCCTCAGTCACATGTCAACTGCGCACTTCTGGGGACTATAGCGCCCTCGCCAAATTGGGAACTTCCGCCACCGCTCACTCGGCGTGGATTGGGGCTAAACTAGATGCCTGGGACTTACGAGCAAATAAAATGAAGGAAGCTGCAAGAGATGCGGTAGCTGCTGCTCGTGAGTCCCAGCCATCTAGTTTAGCCCCAATCTAAGCCGCGTTAGCGGGGTATATTTTCCGGCTCGATAATTTAGGACCGTTATTCAGAGGAAAGCCGTGTTATCTGACCTACAAACATTAGGATCACTGCTGGGGTTAGTGTTATCGGACGTACATACATTATCACTACTGGGGTTAGTGTTACTCCTTACAAGACATACAGAAGGAAACTTGTGCAGATAGCCTTATGCAATGAAAGTTAATCTCTACCTGTACTAACTAAGAGACAACAGATAAATGGTCCAGTCATGTGTCAAAACTACAAGACAGTGCGCCATACATAGCCCTGCCAGACACAACAAAGCAAGACTAGAGGTCAACCATGCAAGCGATGGGATAGATGGAATATCCAAGGCTGTAAACACCAGTATTTGTTTAGCAAATACCAAGGCTCAGACCTGATGCCTCTTCAAAAACCTGACACTAAAAAGCAGAAAAGAACTAGAGAAGAAGAAGGGTTTTCTTTACAAATGAAATTATTAGTCTTCTTCATGTGCTTGCCTGTGTTTCTGGCTCATCCATATCTACTGCCTAGACAAAATCTACTGCAACTCTGGCTTGGTACCCCAGTTTAGTTTATAATGTGGCTCCTGGGTAGTAAAGTTGGATATCTAGCATTTTCGGATAAAGAGAAAAACAGGAAAGGCTGTGAACATGTTGCTTATGTTGGAAAATTCTGAAAAGCAGAGCTGGAGGCTAGTGCACTGGTAAACCTGTTGGGAAAGAAAACCTACTCATGGGTAAACAAAATCCAGTACCATGACTGGATTCTGTCAAGAGGAAGGATACCTTACAAAGATGCATGCCAAAGTCAAACTGATCCCTCTGAGAGGCATATATTTTTATGCAATACACTCCTTTTGGAAGAGGAGATCTGCTGCTGCTGAAGACAAAGAAGAAGACAGTAACAAAGATAAATGGAGAAAGAAGGAAGAAGAAATGACATTTGATTTACCTCCTCTGGCTCATCTTCATCGTCCCAGTTCCTATCATTCAACTCTGATCCTGCAATACGCTTGGCCATAGCTCACTTCAATCTTCATCAATGCACTGAAAAATGAACCACACATCTATAACAAATGTTTTTTTTCTAAACGTGGGTGTTAAGTTTCCCAGGTAAGTTTGTGGACAACCGTTACGATAGATAATCACTGCAGAAAGCTTCCCCACTGCTTACAAATATACAAATCAATCAATCAGGTGCTGTCTCCACATGAGGGTTGAAGGTTGGCCGCAATGGATCTCCAACATGCGGTCTCTCTTGATTGTACACATCCATCCCTTGATGTACTCCTCCTGCTTGTATTTTTTCACTGTCTACCTCTTGCCCTAAACATTTCCCTCCAGTATAGATTTTAAAAGAATGTTAATAACACTGTTATGTCTTTTAGCTTTAATATGGCCAAAATATTTTCTGTTCACATTTGCAGTATGAGTCTGCAGGAATTCTTTTTTTTTTTAAACAACAAATAATAATATATCACTTAGTCCCATGAGTCTTTTCAACTTACTTATGCTTGTTATGTTATCTTCCAGTGGAACGTCGACCTTTAACCTACTCAAGCAACTATGTGAAAGTTCAGGGTTTAAGTTTAATTAATTTAAAAGTTAAAGACAAGACGGACACTTAACATCATGAAGATGAGTATGAGATAGCATAGAGTTGAGAATGATGGCGGTGACACACACACACTCAATTGCACTGAATAATAATAAGATCATTGGTAGAAGAAGATGAAGCAGAGTAGTTTAGTAAGCTATACAATGAATTATTCAAACAAGTAGCAGGTTTTGAGATTAAAGTTTAAACTATTTAGTATTTCGTTTATTTCACTTCTCACTTACAACTGCACACTTTATTTTGGCAAACGTTTTCCGAGCTGGAATGATGATGATGATGAATCTTGTCCTGTGAGAATTTGTAGCGCTGAAGGACTCAAGGTATTAAAAGTCGTATAGATTGTCTGCTTGTTTAACAGATATTTACAGTAAGGTCAACAAAGCTACAGATTACTTCAATAAAGCGATGTAAGGAGTCTTAAAAAAACAGTTCAGCTGGGTTCACTATCGGCATGACATCAACTAGACAGCACGACCATCCATGGGTAGCGCCATTTTTCTCCGTCTGGCTTACAGGGCTGCCAATAAGATTTGTTTTGGAAAAACCCAGCTTCGCTAAACAAAAACCCAAGCAATACATAGACAAAGAACAACAAAAAAAAATTTTTTTAACCCAGATTGTCAAAATGTACAAAATGTATAGTTACGAAACGAAACATTTACCACTTTTATATAAGGATATATTTTTTAAAAAAACCCCAGATTTCCCCATTGCGTAAAAAAAAAAAACCAGATCTGGGAGGAAAACCTAGCATTGGCAGCCCTGCTCGCTTATCGAGTATTGCTGCGCGTCTGCTCTCTCTTATCTCTTTCTCTCTCTCTCTCTCTCTCTCTCTCTCTCTCTCTCTCTCTCTCTCTCTCTCTCTCTCTCTCTGACACACACACCAGTGGCTTTTTTTTCAACTCCATCTTCACATGAACAGGATAATATTTCAAATAATTATTAAACAAACTGCATAAATCTCTTAAAGACGTTATTCTACTATATATATATATATATATATATATATATATATATATATATATATATATATATATATATATATATATATATATATATATATATACGATTAAATATAATTGTATAAAGGAAAAACATTTTATGCAGAAATCCATGTCATTGGAGGTTAGGAAAAGAATTCCCGCATGCTAAATACAGTCAGTTTTAACATGTAGACCAAGCTGTGAATCCTGAAACAGTTAATAAACAAGTCTATTTCTTGAGGTCTTAGAGGTGAGGTTTTACAGAAGAATCCTTAGAATTCCTTGGCAATCCAGATGCTTTGACAGATGCGAGGGCTCGAAGACAACTTATCACAACCACCAGAATGAGACAGTCATCATTTGGGAGAGGGGGGGGGGGGGGGTCATATTATGAGAAGAATTAAAGTGGAGCATGTTGTGACCACTGGTCGGGGATCTGTGAAGAGAGAGACAGAGGAAGACAATGCGAGACGATTCTTTGACAGCCTTTTGTCATGGAATGTAGGGGTGTCAGCACACGAACTGATACGCGTAGTCATAGATCAAAGATTGTGGAGAGTAATGAACGCTTATGCCAGTCGACGAGGCAATTGATGATGATGATATGCAATAGCAAAAAACATACTCTGAGAAGTCAGTGAAATCCCCGTGTGGGTTCCGGGGCCCTAATGTGGGAAAAACAAGAATCGACGCACTGTCTACTCAAAAGCATGTCATAAGAGTCGACTAATTGAGGAGCTTTCTTTGAAGTCGGAGTGCGTCTGCCTTAGAGGCAAGGAACCAACAGTCTGCATTCAAGTGAATCAGATCTGTAAAACTGAGGCACACGCAACACGCCGTTTCTAGAGCAGGATTGCGATTTAGAAGTGGACGAATAACCAGAACTTTCCTCCAGAGTGTAGAGCTGGTCTTTTTCTTCTTCTTTGCGTTCACCAGCTGTAAACTCTGGTGGAAAATTCTGGTTGTTCGTCCACTTCTGGACTGCAGTCCTGTTCCAGAACCTGAGTGTTGCATGTGCATGCGTTTGACAGATCTGACATATTTGAGTTTAGACTGTTGGTTCCTTGTCTCTCAGGCAGATGCACTCCGGCTTCGAAGGAAGCTCTCAATTAGTCGACTCTTACGACATGCTTTTGGTCAGGCAATGGGTCTATTCTTGTTTTCCCTTAAATAGGGCCCCGGTACCCACACGGGGGGGGGGGGTAGAGCTGGTGAACGCGAAGAAGAAGAAGATATCCCATTTATGACTCTGAGGGTTGAACAGGATATTTTTGTGTGAAGATTCTACTGATAATTTGCATTGTGTATGCAAGCTGAAAAACAGTTATTCCAGTGGAGGTGTGGGTTTTAAGAAAAATGCAAAGAATATAATGGAATTGGAGAAAAATATATAACTTTGTCCTTGAGACAGACGAATGTCGTAAACTTAGTACTGAAATTAGACATATGCGTTTTTGGAAGTGTAATGAAGAAGAATTTACTTGGTAACAATTGGCAAGACAGGTGGATAGAGACACCGACCTAATCTGAAGTTCTTGTGATTGTATGAGATGGTAAAACATTGCAGCCTACGCTTATCGGCACACCACATGATGACGATGATGATGATGAAGATGTTACGTATATTGGATAGAATATGCGAATATTTATTTTATGGATGATGACAAGATAACAGTTTATAAGTATTCGTTAAGGAAAATAATGTGCTCTCCATAAAAAGTAGTTTATGTCATGTAATTAAAATGTGAAAGCAGTTTTCTTCTGTTTTCTGGCCAGGTATATTTGCAGGTAACTCGTGATTTATGCCGTAGAAGTCGTGAGCAAATCGCATAGCCTCATTACATTGCATACGGACTATCATCGTCATCTTTATCTTTATCTTCTGCGTTCGCTTCTAAAAGGGCGGTTGGCACCTTGAATTGTGATTTACAGCTAAGCTGCAATACTTGTACTTGCATCTATCGGCTCTTCAACAATACCATAATTTGTCGAACTTTACGACATGCTTGTTAGGGAAGCAGAGGGTTTGTTCTTTTCCCTTTCTCCGTAAATGGGACATCGGAACCCACACGGAGGGGAAAGGGGAACTACAGTGGGTCTTCACCGATCATACCTGCCATTTGTAATTTTTTTTTTTAAAGTTTACATCTACACATAACATGCCCAAAAAATCTGGGCTCTGTACATTTATTATATCTTCTGTAATTTTAGGTTTTGTCTGTTTTTGTAAAGGATACACCTTCATGGCTCGACACTAAGACCCCATTTGGTGTCCGGGGATGGGGTGGGGAGGGGGGCGGTAAGACATACTGCCTCCCTTACCTGCATGTTGTAAAGGGATACTAATTATGGGTGACTCCTTCGAGGTCAAAATACGTCTGCCTGAGCAGCATTGAACCAACAGTCTGCACACAAATAAACCAGATCTGTTAAGCAGATGTACACACAAAACTCAAGTTCTGGAATAAGACCGAAATCCAGAAGTGGACGAACAACCAGGACGTTCGACCTTTAACAAATGCTCGGTCTAAACGATGTCAGATAATAATTCTCCTAGACAAAAATAAGATAACAGTTAGGATTTAGGATAGAATGGAATAATCTAGGTGGTTAAGAACTTAAAAAAATACATAAAAATAAGATAACAGTTAGGATTTAGGATAGAATGGAATAATCTAGCTGGTTAAGAACTTAAAAAAATACATTAAAAAAATAAGTAAAGCTTCTTCTTTTTCTTTAGTTCGCTTGAAATAGATTATATCTGCATAAGTAAAGCATATCATCAAACAAACGTACTGTGAGTTGCTGAGTGAGTTACACCGTGACAAATTATCCTTTATCTATCACTGGTAGTATGTTTCATTGCACACCAAGGAAACGGTATGTTCACCATGTTAATGACACAGTGCTAGTAAGTCTGTCTAATTATTAATAATAAAATTTATATCATAATCTCAATCCAAATCAAAGCACAATGTGAAACAATAGAAATTACCTTTTGGTCATATAAATAATTACAAGATATATAAATGTAAAATCACACGCACGCACACGCACACATACACACACACACACACACACACACACACATATATATATATATATATATATATATATATATATATATATATATATATATATATATATATATATATATATATATATATATATATATATATATACCCTGAGAACTCAATTAACACTATAAATCCCAATTATAACCCTTAGAGTTGTACAGGATATTTTTTGAAACATTACTACTATAAATATATGACAAAAATGTAATTTGCATTGTTTCACATTTTGCTTTGATGTGGGTGGTGAAGCGGCTAGGCGCTTGCCTGCGGATCAGAAGGTCGTGCGTTCGAGTCTGAGGGAGCGGGATTTTTTTCTTTCTTTCAAAAATGACTTTGACACCCA